TGGTTTTGTGGACAAGAATTCCTTCAGTCTATTTATGTCATGGAAGATTTTTCTTTCCCCTTCAACTATAAGAGACATTTTGGCTGGATATAGTAATCTGGGTTGGCATCTGTGGTCATTTAACACTGGCAATACTTTGGTCCAGGCTCTTCTGGCTTTCATAGTTTGCATTGAAAAGTCAGCTGTGATCCTAATGGGTTTTTTATTTTATATGTATGAGTGTATTGTCTGCATCTACTTAAGTGCATCCGTGTTGTGTAATGGAGGTCAGAAGAGGGCATTGGATATTCTGGAACTGAAGTTGTAGCAGCCATGTGGGTGCTGGGAATCAAACTCGGGTCCTCTCCAAGGGAAGCCAGTGCTCTTAACTGCTGAGCCATCTCTCTAGCCCCTGTACTTAAATTCTTGATTCTACTTCCCAAGTGCTGTGATTGTAGTGTGCTATCAAACATGGCTTATAATGGTTATTGTTCTGTATTATTACATATGTTATTTGGCTTAGAAGAAACCAATTCTACCACAGGACCATAAAGCAAACACAACACAGTCGTACATTTTGATAATATTGCTATTGGTTTAATGTACAGTTCCCATATTTCTTTTCTAAGGCTATACAAATTTATCCTCACTTCATAAAATAGAAATGTGCTGGATAGCTTTAGTGTCAACTTGACACACCTGGATTGAGGGAGCCACAATTGGGGAATTGCCACAATTGGGGAATTGCCTCTTTTGGACTGGCCTGTGGCCATGTCTGTGCAGCATCTTCTTGATGAGTGATGTGGGAGGGCCCAGCCCACTGTGGGTGGTCCCACGCCTGGGCAGGTGGGCCTGTGTTGCATAAGAAAGCAGGCCGAGCAGGCGCCAGGGGAGCAAGCCAGTAAGCAGCATTCCTCTATGGCCCATGCTCCAGCTCCTGCCTCCAGGTTCCTGCCCTGAGTTCCCACCTTGGGTACCTGGATGAACTGTGACTGGGATATATAAGCTAAATAAACCCTTTCCTCCCTCAAGTTGGAACTGGTCAGAGTATTCTGTCACAGCAATGAAGAAACAAGCTAGGACAAGAAATTACTTCTAAATTAGAAAGACTCATAGTTTTATTCTGGAAAAAAAAACAAATAAATTAGGCAACTGCTAAAAAGGTTAAGATAGTATAAATAATGTTGGCATATGTTGAAGACTATGCAAAAATATATTTTAAATGTAGTTAAAGCTACTAAACCTATGAGTAAATCAAACTAGTGAAAATGATATATTTAAAGTAGCTTTGCAGAAAGTGGATCACTTCAGCCAAAAGATTGTCTTTGCAACAGGAGCAGGTGAGCTTATGAACAAGGCCCTCAGCATCGAGGCTGAAGGGCAGGTTCCTCCAGACAGGCAGCTCTCCATCCTCATGTAGTAGCCTTCCCAGCAGGTTGCTAGATGCCAGAAGATCATCTCCAGGGTGGACAGATACTCTAACTCTGGGATAGCTCTGCTTTTTTTCAATTGTCAGTTTGTTCTTGCCATTAAATCTCAGGCACCAGCAAGAGCTAATCAGATTCTAGGTTTTCCGAACTCAAATCCCTTATTCTTAAGATCCTAAAAGCCTGATGCCAGCTCTCTGGGCATTCCTGCCCATCTCCCACCCCCACTTACCTCTCTGTACTTGCAGAGAGGTGCTACTGGGCTTATATCTTTGGTCTGCCCCATACATTTCCCAGGCAGACTAGGCTCTCTTGTTCCTGTGGCTGAACATACTAGTTCTGTCCCACATGTAAATGAGACTTCCTTATATTGATGTTGGATTTAGGGCTAAAGCCTGGGCTCCGGTAGCCTCTGCAGATTAGCCTCAGTCACTGTCTCAATAGCCAATTAAAGAGATGGGTAGTAAGGAATGGCAGAGAAGGGAGAATTAATCAATGTTGACCACACTAGGAATTCAGTAACTTCCAAATCTAAAAATTATGTTAGGCTAAGGTGGAGAAGAATTGGGAGAGAAGTTGAGAAATATGTATAATCAAGCAGTCTGGGTCAGGGTGTGGTCTGGTTGATCATTTTCTGAAGGTTATTCCCACAGGTTGTTAACCCTGCTGTCATCATTTTGAGAGGACTAATCTTGTTCCTAGGATCACTTCTCCAGGGTTCAGTCTCACCATCACAGATAACTGCCCTCTCTGTGTGTGACCTGTGCTTCAAGGCTCACCAGTGCTCAGCATCATAAAGGTGTTTATGGATCCCTCCTGTTGTTCCTAGAATCTAAGATTTAGGATAAGGACCCAAGTGAGGAAATGCTTTTTAGCAAAAGTACTTTCTAGTTGCTTGTTATATCAGTAAGCAAGCTTTCAGTAGTTAGGGTTCTTGGTTAGCCCTTTTGTATTAAGTTTTTCTGGGTCTCAGTTTCCTTGAAGTATTTAAAATGAAGTTAGAATATAGATTGCATTACAAAAAAAAGTTCTTTGAACAGCTAAGAGATCAAGCATTCACCTAAGAGAGTCAGAAAGCTCATTTATTCTTTCGCGTGTGTGTGTGGTCCTTGAATTAGCAACAAAAGCCTCAAGATTTTTTGCACCCAGAGCAACGTATAATGCCAGTTATACAGGACTTATTATGTCATTTAATGGTTGCTACCTGAGTCCTATTTCTCTTTTCATGATGGATCATGTTATCTTAGGAAAAATTCCTTCCTGAGTTCACCTGGTCATCAAAGCTTACAAAGTAGATATCCCAGGCAGGGTCAGGACGTCTGCTAGGCCAGGCTAATTGGGCTAGGAACTGGTCAAATTGTCATTACAGTATACAAAACACATAGCACTGGCAGAAGTTTAGATTTGTCACGTCTGGTCTGCACTTTTCTTGGACTAACTGGACCAGGAGCTTTATTAAACCATGTTGTAAACTTTCCATTTTCTTAGTTTTACATCTTTATCAGCAGTTACACATGGTGAGTGGAAAGCATCAGAGCTTCAAGATACCATAGAGCAATATAGCATCACTGAGTAGTAAAACATCACAGGCTTGCAAGAGGAAATTTGAAACGGCCTAAGCTTAGAAGGACATGGTATAATAATACAGTTTGGTTATAAGAATATTATTTCTTATCAACTGCACACATTAAGTTGGGAGCCAGGATGCTTGGAAAGCAGTAATGTCTTTGTAGTTCCTGCCACCCACTTCAACATACCAGTAACACTGTGGACATTCAGTGAGTAAAAGCTTGCTAAATTGACAAAAATAAATGTGTGTTTTCTATCCAGTGCTTGACAACCAGAGGCCCTCAATAAATATTGAGTTCAAAGGAAAGTTTGATTTCTCCAGTACGTTGTGTCACTCCTGGGCAGAGACCAGCATTTAACAGGGCCCTGATGAAAGAAGACGAAATCAGGGGAGTCCTGTTCTCAGGAAGTTCATATTTCAGTATAAAAAGCTAAGACAGGGGGTGGAGAGATAGTTTAGCAGTTAAGAGCACTTCCTGATCTTGCAGAGGGTGTGAGTTCGGTTCCCTGCCTCCTAGTCCAGCGGTTAATAACTTCCTGTAACTCCAACTCCACGAGATCCTAGTCCCTCTTCTGGCTTTGGCTAGTTACCTGTACTCCGTGCACAACCCCCTACCCAAACGTAATTTAAAAAATAAAATCCTAAAAAAAAAGAAATCCAAGGCAGCAAGTCTTTCAATTAAAAATCTCCGCAGCGTCAGTCTGGGCAAAGGTGAGAAACTTGGTGAGGTGAGAGTAGATTTCTGAGTCCGGGTCAGTGTAGACTTCTTGAGCTTTTCATTGGCTCACGCTCAACCGATCCCAGACAGCTGCAGGAAGAAGCCTCAGTCAGCCAATCAGAGTGAGGGGGCGGGAGCTGCCGGAAGCGCTGACGTCAATTAGAGTCACGCGAAAAATGTCCCCGCCCTACCTGTGGCATTCCCGGCCGGGCTTATGGTGGGGCTGGCCGGAGGCCGGACCCCGGCGCGCGGAGGCCTCGGGTGGCTGGCCGGTAGCGGCCATGGAGAGCGAGCAGCCTGATAGCTTGGAGGGCTGGGTGCCGCTGCGTGAGGACCTCTTCTCGGAGCCCGAGCGGCACCAGCTGCGCTTCCTGGTGGCTTGGAACGCCGGAGAGGGCCAGTTCGCGGTGACCTGTCACGACCGCACGGCGCAGAAGCGGCGAGGGCGGCGGGAGGGCAGCGGCCGGGGGCTGGGAGCTGCGCGGGAGTCGGGGTCCAGCTGGGCCGGCCTGTTGTCGGTCGCTGCACTCCGCGGCGCGCACCGGCAGCTGGCGGCGCTGTGGCCGCCCCTGGAGCGCTGCTTCCCGCCGCTGCCACCAGAGCTGGACGTGGCGGGCTGTGCGGCCTGGGGCCTGGGGCGCGGGCTGTGGGCGCTCGTGTGGCCGGCGAGGGCGGGCCCTGGCGACGCGGCGCTGCAGGAGCTGTGCCGGGAGCTCGAGCGCTACCTGGGCCAGGCGGCCGACGGCTGCGGAGGCGCCACCGTGCGCGACGCGCTCTTCCCGGCCCAGGACGACGCGGCCGACTGCGAGGGCCTGCGCGAGTTCCGCGAGAGGACGCTGCGCGCGCGTCTGGACGGGGCAGCAGCACGGCTGCGCTTGGTAAGCGGCGGAGCCGCGGGCCCAATCGTGGGGACCGTGCGGGAACCAACCCTGTGGCTCAGAGAGCGTCGCGGGTGCACCTGTGTCTTCATCCGTAGGGCATTATCAGCCAGGGCAACTCAGAGGGAGCACGCCCGAGGCCTGTGGAGTTGGATCGAAGTTGGTTCTTTTTTGGTTTTCTCAGACATGGTTTCATGTAACCCAGACTGGCCTTGCCCTTGCTGAGGCTGGTTTGAACTTCTGATCCTTCTGCCTCCACCTCCCCAGTGCTGGGATTACGAGAGTGTGCCTCCAGCTCCGGCACTGTTTTGGTTTTTTTTGAGACAGGATCTCAACTCTGTAGTCCAGGCTGGTCTCGAACTCTTGCAGCAGTCCTCTTGAATCACCCTCTCAAGCGCTGGGATTACAGGCGCGCACCTCTGTGCCTGCCTGAGATCAAAGTTTATTTTCAGTTCTGAGCCAAGTTAGGTCCTTCACCTTTTCCCTGAAGGTCTTGACAGCATGATACTGTAAGGCCAGAAATAGTGAAAGCAAAACGGAAAACAACACATACCGGTAGGAAAGAGCACAAACTAAATGGAAACAATTCTGGGTTCTCTGGGGCAAGATCAGAAATGGCTATAAAATGTTTTGGAGGATGAAATGGCTTTTAGAGGTTAGTTTTTTTTTGTTTTTTTGTTTTGTTTTTTTGTTTTGTTTTGTTTTTAAAGCAATAAAGATCAAGTGGAAAGCCCAAGGGAGGTGAGTTTTACTTATCAATTTGGAGTGGCAGCAATAGGAAGGCCCTTTTAAGATGGAAAGAGAGACACAATTCATTATTTGGGTGAAAAACTTACAGAACCTAAAGGGAAGGGAAAATTAAAGTTAACCAAAAGATGCAAGAGAACACATGACTTACAGAGCAGTTTCCTGAAGAGAGCTGAGTTTTAGTGCTTCATTTTAGATCCTTTTGTTATGAGCCATTATTAGCAATGGTTTTGCTTTGAATTCTTTTGAGGAAGGGGAGAGGTGAAGAGAAGAAAGAAATGGCAAAGTTTTGATGTTAAGCTGAAAAGAGAATGAGTCTTTAACGCTAAAATGACTCTGTAAAAGGAATCTGTTAGTGGAGTTTTTGTTTGTTTGTTTGTTTGTAAATAGGGTCTTGCACTGTAGTCCAAGCTGCCCTGAAACTCACTATATGGTTCAGGCTGACTTCATACTTGTGATCCTCCTGCTTCAGCCTCTAGAGTGCTGAGATCACAAGCTGGGCCACCACGCATGGGTCAGTGACTTCACTTTATACTCTGTAGTTATGCATTAGTTACACACCTACTTATCATGTGTTGAGTTATAATATGAGGAAATCACAGAGGTGTTTCAGGCCAGCTAGCTTTTGATCCTTACCTTGATCATTTTATACCACAGTTCATTATTTATTCAGCATGCTAGACAGACACTTGACCACTGAACTACCCATCTCCCCAGCCTTTTTATTTTGAGGCAGTGTCTAAGTTGCCCAGACTGGCCTTGAACTCTGTAGCCCAGGCAAGCCTAGTATTACCCTTCATCACTCCCCTCTGATCGATCACTCAGCACTCCAGCCTCTTGGTATTATTCTATTTTTTCTAATATGCCATACTTTTCAGAAGCCTTCTGACTTCCAAGAATGACCCAGAGCCCAGCACCTACTTTTAGCAAGGCCTTATCTGTGTTTCAACTTCCAAAGTAGCTGGAATGACCGGCTTGAGCCATTTCCTGCCTTAACTTCCCAAAGTAGCTGAATTATAGTTTTGTGCCACCAGACCTAGCTCAAACTATTTTTTTTTTAATTTTATTGAGCTGGGCGTGGTGGCACATGCCTTTAATCCCAGCACTTGGGAGGCAGAGGCAGGCGGATCTTTGTGAGTTTGAGGCCAGCCTGGTCTACATAGTTCTGGGACAGCTGCGGCTACAAGGAGACCCTGTCTCAAAAAGACAAAAAAAAATTTTTACTGGATTTTTGTGTATTTCATACAGAACATCTTAATCAGTTTTATACCCCCTTCCCCATTGGCACCTGCCCATGGTGCCTGCACTGGAGTTCATACATTCTGTCATTTGTGTTAAGGCCTATTGTGTCAAGTTAGTGTCCCCAGACATCCCTCAGTACAGGTTCATCCACTGAGGTCTAGTCAGCTTATCTAGAGTCCCTCCCTTTAAGAAGATGAGCTCTTCCTCACGGAGCAGTAATCAGCTGCCAATAATGCCTCAACTAAGATAGGGGCCTGCTGTCCATTTTCACAGTTCTGTGCTGGGTTTTTGTCTGCCTGAGTTTGCATGGGTCTTGTGCATGCTGACAGCATTGCTGTAGGTTCATATAAGAGTCCCAGGACCCTGTAGGACTTTATTTCCATATGGTCATGCACCTCCTCCCTGGCTCTTATAATCTTTCTGCCCCTCTTTTGCAATGAGCCCTGGGTGAGTGAATTTTAATATAGGAGTTCTATCCAAGGACACTCCCCTCCTCCCCCCAACACTCTGTAGACTCTTTAATTCTCTATATTTTGGCCATTTGTGATCTTTTGTGTTCTTGGCCCTCTGTTGCATGAGGGTGCATCATTGATGAGAATTGAAAGATGCATTAATGTTTTCTTCATCTCTTGTTATATGTTTTGGGAGCCTTAGGTGTAGAGGTTGCATAGCAGATGTGTCACTTAGGCTTAGGCAATTCACAACCTCTATGTATGACTGCTTATGGAACTCTGTAATAATCTCTGTTGAAAAAGAAGCTTCTTTGATGGGTGGTGACTGGGATACTTATCTGTAAATTTAAGGATCCGTATTTTGCACATAGTAAAAAATTACATTTGCCTAGGTATATGACAGCCTTGGTTATCTCTAAGATCTGTGACCTCTCTAACAATTTGTATTTGGTTAGGTTTACAGTACCATATATGAGTTTCTTCCCATTGAATGGGCTTTTAAGTCCAATTAGGTAGCTATTGATTAATCCCAAGATAAAAGTGCCACTGCTGCACCAGTGTTGTTTGCTGTGCTGGCCATTGGTGTGGTTATTAGGCCTTGAAGCTGGGGTTGGACCATAGATTGATGTTCTCCCTTACTAGCTTGCATAGTGCTCTCCAAGGCTATGAGAGCTAGCCTTCAGGGGAGGTGGCTTCAGGGTCGATTCCAGCTCCATTACTCCAAATCCTGTGTCTGGAATATGTCCTGTGACCTCTCTTTTTATATATATTTTATTTTTATTTTATGTGTATGAGTATCTTGCCTCACAAGTGTACCATGTGTATGCAGTGCCTGCAGAGGCCAGAAGAGGGCATCACATCCTCTGGAACTGGAGTTACAGGCAGTTGTTGGCTGTCAAGTGGATGCTGGGAATGAAACCCCAGTCCTCTAGAAGAATAGCAAGAGCTCTTAACTGCTGAGCCATTTCTCCAGCCCCTCAGACTTGGTTCTTGACATTTCATTTCTTATAGGGATTTTTTTCCCTTAAATTAACATTTGTATTTGTAGTTATTACTACATTTTCCCCCAGTTCAAGTTCATTCCCAGCTGTTATAGTACTTATCTAAGTCATACAATTGAGTTCATTTGAGTAATTCACCTGCTCACCTAGAACTTAAAAATGGGGATGGGGGCTGAAAAAACAAAGCATATCAGGGTGGTGTACAGAGTCTTTATGTTTGTTGTTTTCTTTGAGATGGGTCTTTCCATGTAGCCCAACCTGACCTTGAACTCAATTATTTAGCCCATGCTGGCTTCAAACTCCTAGCAATCCTCCTGCGTCAGCCTCCCCAGTGTTGGGATTACAGGGTTGAGCCATCATGTTGGCTAAGTCCTCATTCTATTAAAGTCTTTAAAAAACAGTGTTGAATGACTGTGAGAATAACATTCTGCCATGGACATGCCATCATATATTTAACCATTTTTATTTTATTGGGCATTTTGATTGGAGGACATTTTCATATTTAATAAGTTGTTTAAAACTGATGTTTTATAGATGAGAACATTAGGTTTCTTTTGTTTAGTTTTGTTTGGTAAGATTATAAATAATATCCACATTTGAGCTTTATTTACATTTTGCTTTCTAGGTTCTTCAGGGTCATGAAAAAGCCAACACCATGGTAGCATTAATGAAAGTTTATCAGGAAGAAGATGAAGTGTATCAGGAACTAGTTACCATGGCAACTATGTTCTTCCAGTACTTATTGCAACCATTCAGGGATATGCGAGAAGTTGCAACTTCATGTAAGCTTGATATTTTGGTATGTTTCCTAAGTTTTTTTTATCAGATTTATTACCTGTCATATATTATTTCTTTAGTCACATTTAAGGTTCAATCTGTATTTTCACTTTGAGTTCATCTTTATATTTAGAGGATATTGTTTATATATTGAATTTGTAATTTGTTTTGTTTTAAATTTATTTTCATTAATTCTTTGAGAATTTCATACAATGTATTTTGGTCACATTCACCCCCCATTCCTCCCCTAATTCCTCCCACATCCACCCTCTACCTCCCGACACCCTCCTAACTTCATATCTTTTTTGTTTTTCAATCCACCAAGTCTGTTTGTGTTGCCTATATATCATGGGTGTGGGGCCGTACACTGGAGTGTGCTTGACCTACCAGGGGCCATACCCTTAAAGAAAACTGACTTTCCATCCCCAGAAGCCATTAATTGTCATCCTAGCTCCTCATTTAGGGGTGGGGGCTTCTGCGCCTCTCCCCTCTCTATGCTGGAATGCTGACTGGCTTGATCCTGTGCTGGCATCCACAGCTGCTGAGTGGTTTTTTAATCTTTGTGTGTATGTGTGGGGCTGTACACTAGAGTCTGCTTGATCTACCACTACCAGGGGCATAATATGTATGTGTATGATATGTTTGTGTGTATGAGTGTGGGTACATACATGCCATGGGGCACATGTTGAGGTCAGAGGATAACCTTGGATGTCAGCCCTCACTTTCTACCTTGTTTGAGACAGGATTCTTGTTATTTGCTGCTCTGAGTGCCAGGCTAGCTGGCCAACGAGCTTCTGAGGACTCTCCTCCCTGCCTCTCACCTTGCCATAGAAACACTGGGATAACACATGACGCATGCTACAGCATGAGCCACCACTCCTTACTTACATATTTTTTCATTACTTTCATGTCTGTACTGGGGAGTGAACTTGATAACTTAATGTTTAACTTTTGCTTTTTAAAGAACAGTTGACCTTTTGAAGGACTGCTAGACTGTTTTCCAAAGCAAGTGCACTGTTCTGTATTCTGACAGCTTCAGTGTGTATTCAAATTTGTTTGTATCAACACCAATACCTGGTGTTTTTTATTGTTGCTTTTGAGCTAGGATATTGCTATGTAGCCCCAGTTGGCCTTGAACTCATGGTAGTCCTCCTGCCCTAGCTTCCCCAGTGCTGGAATTATAGGCATATGCCACCAGCCTGCCTTCAACACTTGTTATTGCCTGCTTTTTTTCTCCAAGTGGGTGGGAAGTGGTTATCTAGCTTTGATTTGCATTTCTCTGTGGCTAACCTGCACATGTTTCTTGAATGAAATGAAAATCACATAGCAATATCACAGAATTGCTATGGATTATACTGTTACTATGAAATATCACTAAATCATGCTTTGTAGAAGAAAATTGGATGCTACATGGCATAGCAGTACGTGTCTTAGTTCAGACTGTTATAACAGTGCATTTAAACTGGGTGGCTTGGGGGTAAAGAGCACTGGCTGCTTTTACAGAGGACCCTTATATAGTTCCCAGCATCCATATGGTGGCTAATAATAGTCTGTAACTATAGTTCCAGGGGATCCATTGCCTTCCTCTGGCCTCTGGTGTCTGATGAGGGCTTGCTTGCTGGTGTTTAGCTGACTGTCTTGATGTGTCTTACATGGTGAAAAGCAGAGAGATCTTACTCCTCTCCTTTTTATAAGGGCATCAGTCCCATTCATGAAGGCTGTACCCTCATGGCTTAATACTATCACACTGGGGATTTAGGCTTCAACATATGCATTTCAGGGATACAGATATTCAGTCCATAGGAGCAAATGCCACCATCCTGAGCACACAGATCTAAAGATCTTTTAGGTGATTGTGTTACATTTTTCCTTTAGAAAAGAACCAGAGTATTGAAAAGCTCCTAAAAGAAACTATAGGAACAGATAACACTTGAGTGCTGTGGACTAGACCCTGTGCTTAGGACTGAATATACACTTATACAGCTGTATATTTTTATTAATAAAAAACAAACTCAACAGTACTGCTCTCTAGGAAAGGCTATTCTAGTAATACAAAGTGAAAGCAGATGCTTTTTCCCTCAGTCCCCTAGAGTGCACCTTTGTCTTCCAAGTGGTTACCAGCTTTGAGTCCATTCATACTTGATAAGGAACTGGTTACAGCAGTCCACATGGCCAGCTTCCTAATGACGCCACATTACTGTTTCTTTCTATAGAAGTCCCTGGATGAGGATGACTTGGGTCCTAAAAGGGTGGTTGCCCTACAGAAGGAAGCCAGTGAATGGAGCAGACGGGCTGAAGAAGCAGTCATTTCTATTCAAGAGATCACTGTGAATTATTTTAAGGAAACAGTAACAGCATTAGCAGGTGATGCTAAAAAACACCGTACTTAGCTATATGTAATTTTCATTTCATTCAAAAAACATTTAGGTGCATCTTAAGTACTAGGCACTGTGTTTACTGGGTGCTAGGAATTTGATGTAAAGAAAAGCATAAACTGTGCAGCCTGGTGAGGGGAGAGAAGTCTGTGCTATGTGTTCAGCACATAGTAAATGGTAGAGGCAATAAGCAGCATTAGAGAAGAAACACAGGGCTCTAAGAGCCTGTGAGAGCAGTTGGGTCTGATCTGGGTTGTCAGAAAAGACCTCTGAGAAGTGTGCTTGCTTCAGTACCTGAAATGGTACATGGAAGTGGGGAGGTGGTGAGAGGAGAGAGTTGGGCATTTGTAGAGGCTCTGTGACTTGAGGGAGCTTGACAGATGTGTGGAACTAAGCCCATGGTTTGGATCCCAGAGACCAAGGGAGAATACTGGCCAGACAGGCAGGGATCACAACAGGTAGGGGCTCATGGACAGAGTAAAGAACTTCTGCCTAATCTTAAACCATTGTCTATAAAGCCTCAAATAGGAAATTTCATGTCTGTCAGTCTACTTGTTAAGGTATTATATATATATATATATATATATATATATGTAAAGATTAGGAAAAGGAAGATTCAGTATGACTCTCAATATCTTTAAAAATGAATGGTAGGAGTTCTTAACGTAGTAAGATTTGAAATAAGTAAGATTTAAAGCAGAATAATGATCTAAGTGCTGTTAGTCAAATTATCTGTAACAAGCCTGTCTGTCTATCTAGCAGTTGTCTTGATGAGGGAGATCATGAACTGTTACTGTCCTGACTTTACATGGAATATGTAACATTTTATATCAGCAACCATGTATTACCCTAGCAATAATAAAATTATTTTAAAATAATTTAAAAATGTGTTTGCAGTAATGAAAGGCAACAAAGAAAGGATAGATCCAGGATTCATTCTGTGCTTTATCAATCGTAACCCAATAGGAATGCAGAAGCAAATGGAACAGGATCAGAAGAGATTCGGTCAGGCGGCCTGGGCCACAGCCATGCCCAGGCTAGAAGAGCTCAAACTCATGTTAGCTCAGGAGACCCTGCAACATATGAGAGCCAAAGAGCTGTGTTTAAACCACAAGAGAGCTGAAATCCAAAGGAAGGTAAGATGGGGACTAATGCAACTACCTTCTAAAAGAACATTTTTATGTAGATCGCACCCTTCTTCCTGGGCACAGTTCACGAGCTTCCTTTCTTTGTTTTTTTCCCAGCAGACTTCCAATAGATGAGGCTTTGGAGACTGGGGTGGGCCATGGGGGTTCCCTTCCTGGTTCTCAAGGTATTTCTAAAATACAGCAGGATTCACTTTATATCACTGAGTTTAGGACTGAAGTGAGTGATTGACTTTAAATCAGCCCACCAGCCCCAGCCTGTCTCAGCAGGTCTTCACTACTCAGCTCAGCCCCAGCCCCAGCCCCCATCCCAGCATATCTTAGACAAAATGGTATTTCTTTCAAGGATCATTGTCACTTAAGAGTACTTGTAAAGCAGAGTATTGTCAGTACCTGTCTTAGATTAGACTTGTAAGAAGATCCTGTAGTCAGGGTGACTGCAACAACAGATACTCCTTTCTCACAGTTCTAGAGGTTAGATGTCCAAGATCAGGATGCCTTCAGGTTCAGAGCCTGATGTGATGAGTCCTCTGCCTGGCTTGTGGCTGCACCGTCTTGCTGAGGGCTCACATGGCCTCTCCTTTGTCCTCAAAGAAACAGAGAAAGGAAGCACTCCTAAGTGTCCCAGTCCTACAGTGAGGCCCCACCCCTCAAACTCATCTAAACATGACCACCTCCAAAGGCCTCTTCAGTGCTGTCACATTGGTTTAGGGTTCCAACATGTAAACTTTGGGATAACACTTTCCATCCATGACATGGTTTCATTGCACTTATGTTTTTAGAACTTGAATGTGTTGACGTGTTTCAAGGATAAGACTGAGTATATGTAGTGAACACTGAATAAGGCACGTTTGTCTCAGCTGGTGAAATGGAAAATTGTTTCTTCTTCCCTGTCTTACATTCAGGATTATCAAAGCGTAGAAGACAGCCAGAATGTTTCTGGAGTTTACTTTTAATATACTAATTAGTTTCTTCCTCTTCCCATTAAAAACAAGGTGGAAGATCTTCCAGAACAAGAAAAGAATATAGATGTTGTAGATGAGCTAGAAATACAGTATTATGAAATTCAGTTGGAGTTGTATGAGGTGAAATTTGAGATATTAAAAAATGAAGAGACACTTCTTGTTACCCAGTTGGACTCTATTAAAAGACTTATCAAAGGTAAACTTTATGTTTATATGTCAGAGTAAAATGTTGAAATTACATGTTTGAGGAAATCTAGACCAGTAATCTGTTAGTTCTTGTAAACTGCCTGTAACATCTGAGGGTTTTAAGTTTCTCTTCAGTATTTTTATTATTCAAATAACATATTCATTGTTGAACGTACAAGAAACAAAGAAAGAAAACCCCATGCCCATCATGTAGAGGTATGTAGTAAAAACAATTTGCTGTGTAACTGTAGGTGTTTTAAAATGTGCCATATATATGATATATATGGGTATCACTTTTTAAAACCCAAACTATACATTCTATTAAATAGCCTCATTTTAACCTAATATATAATAACCATCTACTCATTTTAAGTTATAAAAAATTTCAGAATTTTAATGGCTGCATAGTATTTCATTTTTACAGGCATACTGTGATTTCCAGTTTCTCACTGTCTTGAACAACAATGCAGCAGAGAATTTTCCTTTGCACGAACTTGCGTGCAGCACAAAGTACTGATAGTTTATGAAATAAATTTCTAAATATAGAACAGTTAGGTTAAGGACAATGTTTATTTTACATTTTTATCTGCTAAAATAGTACAAAAACCCTATGATTTGAAATACATTTTTCCTCACCCCTGTATTTTCTCATTTCTAACCTCATAATGCTTTCTAGAGAGACTGAGTTCAACAGGAGGTAGAGTGAGTCTCCTCTTAAGTTCTCTGGCTACTTGGTAGAAAAAAATCATCTCAAAGTTTTTATTTAATTACAAACAATTCTGATTTATATGTTTTATATGATTCACTGCCATTTATATTTATGAACTGCCCATTTTTCTTTGAAATGTATCCTTTTTTTCCTTTTGGCTGTTTTGAGAGGGGTCTTATATGTAGCTGTATATAGCTGGCCTTGAACTCGCTGAGTTTTCTTTCCTTAACCACCTGAGTGCCAGGATCATAGCTGTGCACGGCCACACCCCTCATCCATTTTACTTCATAGTGCTTACTTTTTCTAGTGCACAAAGTAATGGGTTTTATGATGACATTTTCATGCCTACATTTGTCACCCCAGTACCCTTCCTTGTTGTCCTCACCCCCATCCTTTTCCTCCCCCCAGATAGTTCCCTTTCTGCTTTCATTGTTATACACACACACACACACACACACACACACACACACACACACACATCCATTTGGTTGCACTTATATATGATTCTGTTTTTGTTTTTTGAGACTAAGTCTCACATAGTCTAGGTTGCTCTCAAACTTTGTACGTACCCAAGAATGACCTTAAATTACTCTTCCTGCCCCTACTTCCCAAGTGCTTGGATTAGAGGTGTATATCACCACATCCTGCTAAGTTGTTATATCTAGATTTTGCATATGGGAAAAATCATGCCATATTTGTCTTTCTTCTTTTGGAGTATTTGCTTTCTACATTAAAGATTTTATTCAGTTGTCACAATGTGGTAGGAATCAAACTTTTCTTCCCCAATTAAATTAGTCCCAGTCACTGATTTTATGAACATTCTCTCCTGCTTTGCGTGGCTGCACTGCATAGCTAGCCCTGCACTGGTTTGGATGGCAGCTAGCACTGCGATGGCCCTATGTTCTTTTCCACTCACTTGTGAGAGCCTTCTGGGGTGGGTTTTGTACTGCTGCTGTACCTGTGGAGCAAGTTTCAGCATCTGATGATGCGGGTACCCACCTCGATACTCTGCTTCTTCCATGTTCTCTGACTGTTTTCACTTCTTTATTCTTCCAGATGAACTTTAAAATCACTTTGGCAACTTTAAAACAGACAAAAACTCATGGAATTTTTATTGGGATTGTGCTTAAAATTAAAGATTACTTTTGGGAGAATTGTCGTCTTTGCAATTTTGAATCCTCCCACCCAAGATCATGGTAGGTCTCTCCATTTACTTAACGGTCTTTTCCCTAAAGTTTCTCCAAGTTTAATAATCTTCCTGCAGAATTTCAACATTTACTTTAGTCAAAACATTTAATTTTCAATACCTTTACAGTCATTTTAAGTTACAAACATTTTACAGATTTAAGGAGAAACTATTTTAAAAGGGTAATCTGGAAATCTGGAAGGATGCATGCCAAGTTTGTTCAAGGTGTTTTCATCTGTGATGGGACTTAGAAGGTTTGGGGAAGGTGAAGAAAACTTCTTTTTATCTGATGTGTTTTGTAGGATTTTGAATTGTTATAATAACCATGCAGTTTAAAAAAAATCAATATGTAAAAAACCCAGTGAGACACCTTCCTGATGGTGGTGTTTCATTTCTGGTGGGCAGTTTGGCAGTGGCTATAAAGAACCCTGAATATTCATATGCTAAGGAAGTAATGAGTAATATACATGAAGATTAATATGAAGGGATGTTTATCACAGTGAAATTGGAAATAATGGAACATTAGAACATTCTAACCGAGAATGCTTAAATTAGGGAATACTATGTGGCCATTAAAATTATATTTCCATTTCCATCACATGGAACATGTTCTCTTTGAACTCTAGATATGTGTGGCTCTATAAGAAGAATGTATATATATGTATGTAAATGCTAATAATGCTTTTCTTGGGTGGTAGAATTACGGTGGGCTTTACTTCCTTACATTTCAAAACATTTTAAAAATTACTCTTTATAGTAAAACATGCTTAAGAAAATTGTTAATACTTTTAGAGAAACAGGATGAAGTGGTCTATTATGACCCGTGTGAGAGTCCTGAGGAACTGGCAGTCATGGCCCATGGTGTGGAGCTGCACAGTGGTGAGAACAGGGAGGTGAGGGCGCTCAACCGGCAGCGCCAGCAGCTGGAGGCTCAGCGGGGCCGTATCTGTGCCAGGAGGGCCTACCTCAGGAACAGAAAGGTGAGTACCCATCAGACAGTTCCCTTCTAGGGTTTCTTTTTTAACAAAAGGTTAAAAGGCACTGAAAAGAAGGTTTTTACCTACCTAGTAATTTTTTCGTGTACCTATGTAGGTATCTGTGGCTACAGTTAAACTTATTTTATTTATGTTTGGTTGTTTGGTTGTTTTTGAGGCAGGGTTTCCCTGTAGCCCCAGCTGACCTGTAATTCTCTGTGTAGACCAGGCTGGCCTTGATCTCACGGAGATCTGCCTGCCTCTGCCCACTGAGTACTGGGGCTAAAGGTGTTTGCCACCATGCCCAACTCAGTTAAATGTATTCATTTTTTTAAAAGTATTTTTACTGATTCGAGAATTTCATATTACCTATATTTGATCATGTTCGGATCCCCTCCCCCTCTCCATCTTCACCTTACCCCTCCTGCTTCATGTCCTCTATTATTATTTTTTTTTAAGGCCTATCAAGTCTAATTTGTCTTTCCCAAATGTACTTGAGGGTCTATCCCTTGGAGTCTAGTCAGCCTACCACCAGGTATCACACCAGTAAGAAAAAACTGACTCTCCCTCTCCCAACATCCATCAAATGCCAATAGATCCTTAGCTAGGACTGGAGCTTCCTGCCCACCTCCCCCATCTGTGCTAAGGCCCTGTCTGGCTTGAGCTTTCACAGATCTTGTGCATGCTGTCATAAACACTATGGGTTCATAGGTACAACTACCCTGTGGTGTCCAGAAAACACAGTTTCCTTGTATTCACCCACCACCTCTGGCTTTTACAATCTTTGTGCCCCCTGCTTCTGCAGTGATCCCCGAGCCTTGGAAGGAGAGGGTACAATATAGGTGTCCCATTTAGTACTACATTTCTTTGTTTCTTTTGGATTTAAGCATTTACTGTAATATCTAGGTTTTAATTAGTTCATTCAGTAATTATTTGTCAAGTGCTCACTGTATACAGAATACTTTTATAATCAAAATAAAGAGCTGGGGGCTTGATGAGTTGGCTCAGCAGGTAAAAGTGCTTGCAGCCTAAGCCTGATGGCCTTACTTCAATCCCTAAAACCCATGGTGGAAGGAGAAAACTGACTCTTGAAAGTTGTCCTTTAACACACATGTATATCATACATGTGTTGTGCCCCTCATCATCTGCACACACACACACACACACACACACACACACACACACACACACTCGTAATAAATAAAAGAAAAAATTTTTAAAGGAGCTGGGCCTGGTTCAGGCCTATAATCCAAGCTACTTGAGAGGCTGAAGCAAATTCAAGGCCAGCCTGGACAACTTAATGAAATCCTGTCTTAAAATAAAAAAATACTAAAAAATAGCTGGAGATGTAATTCAATGCTAGAGCACTTGACTAGCATGCATGAAGTCCTAGGTTCAATCCCCAGGATCACAAAAAATAAAATAAAACTTAAAAATTACAGTGAGGTGCTGAAAAGATGGCTCAGTGGTTAAGAGCACTGGCTACTCTTGCAGAGAACCTGGGTTTGATTCCCAGTACCCACATGGCAGTTAACATCCATTCGTAACTCCAATTTCAGGGGAATCCAACACCCTCTTATGATCTTCTTGGGCACTGCCCAACACGGGTGTACTTACACATGTGCAGACAATACATGCATACACATAAAATAAAAATAATAAATAAAATATTAAAAAATTACAATGAGAGAAACTCTTTAATGATCAGCTATACAACAAGTATATTTGATTATAAATTATGAATTATAAGTCATTCACAGATATATTCATCTTATTTCAGACCTTATAGTGAGTGATTTTCTTTCTTAGCTCTAAAACATTAACATAAAAAGAAAAGCACTAAGAAATTTAATTTTTTCCAACAGAAAATTCCTATGAATGTCCATATTTATTGTGCTTTTCTTGTTGGAGTTTCAAATTCTGTTGTTTTGGGGATTGAACCAGGACCTTGTTAATGCCTGGCAAGTGCTACAGCCCAGACCCCCTTCCACTTTTCATTTCAAGATAGGGTCTTGCTAAGTTGCCCAAGCTAGCCTCAAACTTGAGATCTCCTCCTGTTTCAGCCTCCTGAGTGGCTTGGTTTACAGGCATTGCCTGGCTGTGACTTCTTTTTTAGCTTCTAAGAATGTTTATTACTTCCTAGCAAATGTAAATACTTTAAAAACATTTCCTAGAATAGTGCCCTTGCAAGTCTGTTTTGTATATTTAGGAGTATTTCCTCAGATGGCTGGAAGATCCATAGGCATTTCCCCTTGGCAGCCTTCACTTTCCAGGTAGCATTCCTTCCCCACCTCAGTCCAGAAGCTTGTGCACTGGAGTTCTGGAAAGACTGGCATTTGGAAAGCACTGAACAAACAGGATGGAAACTGAGATCAGGTTTGAGATCAGGTTTCAGAGGCTAACTTGGGTTGAAATCACAGTGCAGTGCCTTGGTAGACATGTAAACTTACAAAGGCAATTCTTTTTTCTTTTTTTAAAACATATTTTATTATTTTATGTGTATGAGTGTATTGCATGCATGTGTATAAGTGCACCCATGTCATGCAGTGCCCTTGGAGGTCAGAAGAAGGCATTGGAGTCCCTGGAACTGGAATTATGGAGGGTTGTTAGCTGCCATGTGGATACTGGGAATCAAACCCTGGTCCTCTGCAAGAGCAGTCAGTACTCTTAACTGCTGAGCTGTCGCTCCAGCCCCCTTCTTTTCTTTTTTTAAAAATTCATTTTTATTTATGTGTGTGTGTGTGCGCACACACGCATGTGTGTGCATGCATGGGCCTGTGCCTGTGCTTGTGTGTGTGCATGTGCATATAGGTGCCCTAGGAGGCCAGAAGAGGGTGTCAGATTCCCTGGAACTGGAGTTACAGGCAGTTGTAAGCTGCCCAATGTGGGTGCTGGGAACCAAACTCCTGTCCTCTGCTAGAGTGGCAGACACTCTAACCACAGAGCTGCCTTTTCAACCCTTGAAATTTCTTTTAAGCAAAGTTTTTCATCTGTTAAGAGGATAATAGTAATGATACAAAACTAATGATTAATGAGAGTAAAATGGAATTGAGGCTCGGACTTAAAACATGCTCAATAAATGTTTGTATTTTTACTGTGTTATTTTCCTTAAATATGAAGGGTTATGGTGAGTGGTGAGTGCTTAAGCATGGGAATAGTTTTGGGTTTTTTTTTGGTTTTTTTGAGACAGGTCTCCCTATAGCCCCAGCTGTCCTGGAACTCACTATGTAGACCAGGCTGGCCTTGAACTCACAGAGATCTGCCTGCCTCTGCCTCCTGAGTGCTGGGATTAAAGGTGTGCACCACCATGCCTGGCTATGGGTATAGTTTTTAACATAACATTCCAAGTATCTGTCAGTTGGCTATGCTTTCCTACTAGATGTGTTTGAAAATTAGTATTTATAACATAAAGAAATGCATCTAAACAATCACATTAAAGCACATCGTTAGGGGACTGGAGAGATGGCTTGGTGATTAACAACACTGGCTGCTCTTGCAGAAGATCTGGGGTCAGTTCCCAGCACCTACATGGCAGCCAACAAACATCTGTAACTCCAGTTCCAGGGGATCTGACACCCTCTTCTGGTTCCTGTGGGCACTGCACAACACAGGTGCACTTACATATCCAAGAAAAACACTCATATACATAAAATAAAAATAAATAAAATGTATTTTTTAAACCCTACATTGTTGGGGGCCTTTGAGATGGCTAAGCCTGTAAAGACATCTGCCACTGAGCCTGGTAAACTGAGTTTCAATCCCTGGGACCTACATGGTGCAAAGAGAGAAACAGCTTCTGCCAAGTTGTCCTTTGCCTCTACATGTGTGCTGTGGCAATGCTTTTTAAACACTTATGTTCCAGCCCATGATATTAAAAATCATGTGTGTGATTTTTATTATTCCATCAGGATCACTGCAAAGAAAATCATCGACTCAGATTGAAACAGGCTAAAGAAAGTATCAGATATTTTCATCAACATCATACTATCCAGATGGTGAGTACCAAGGGAAATGTTTTACAGTTAAATACTGTTCCACAATGGGCTAACCTGTGGAAACAATCGCCTCTGCTTTGGAACTCCAGCTGTCAGCTTTGCTCTGCCTGCTCTACAACTGGGATAGATAAGAGAGTGGGGCCACTTTCTTTCTGAAGACATGTATGACTAGAATTCTGAACAATTTACAAGTATATGTTTGTTTAAATATAGAAAAGAGACAAAATTAAAGAAGAGGAGCAAAAGAAAAAAGAATGGGTAGACCAAGAACGCCAAAAAACACTCCAGAGATTGAGAACATATAAAGAGGTAAGGTCTTAGAAAGAATCACTTCCCCTCCTTTTTCTGGGGAGATAAGTGAGTTTCACCCATCATAAGAGGAGCATAAAGGATTCTGAACAGATAACCAGAATATGGAATGCTTAAAAGACTATTATCATTAAAAAACAAAAATTTAGACGTCATAGTTTCAAAGCCACAATATAAAGCAACTGCTGGCTTTTATTTTTTTGAGACAGGCTTTCACTGTGTAGCCCAGGCTTGCCTTAAACTCACACTCCTCCTGTTTTAGGCACTCAACTGCTAGATTATGGTTGTGTGCTACCATGCCTGGATTGCTGTTTTTGACATTTAATGTTGGGGTTCCTCCTTTTCTTTCTGAATGGTGCTTTACTGTCCTCAGAGTTAGCTGTCTTTTCTCCTCTTTATATTTTTGTATGTGCATGTATGTTTGTGTGCATTCAAGTGGACACGTGCAGATGTGTATAAAGGCCAGAGAGCAACCTCAGGTGTCATTCTTCAGGAGCTGTCTACCTTGTTTCTAAGACAGGGTCTCTCATTAGCCTGGGACTCACCAATTAGGTGAAGATGGCTGGCAGCAAACCCCAGGGATCCATCTGTCTCTACCTCCCTAGCACTGGGATTATAGGCACCTGCCCCCATACCCAGAGCTTTTGTGTGGGTTCTGGAGATTTGAACTCAAGTCCTCATGCCTTGTATGGCAAGTAGTTTACCTAAGTAGCTATCTAGACCTTTTTTTCCCCTAAAATATCACCAAGAAGTATTGGTCATAAGTGTAACTGAAGTGCTCTGTTCAAAGTATATAGGTTTTGGGAGCTGGAGAGATGACTCAGTGGTTAAGAGGACTGGCTGCTCTTGGAGAGGACCCAGGTTCAGTTCCCAGCACCCACATGGTGGCTAACAACTCTCTTCTGACCTCTGTGAGCATTGCATGACATCGGCACACTTACAGACATTCAGGCAAAACCCTCATGCACATAAAATTTTTTTAAAAATAATGAAAAAAAAATTTAAGTATATAGGTTATTTTTTTCTTCTGTCCTTTTTGCTTTCTCTTTTTGTTTTTAAGATCTTTTTGTTTTATTTTATTTTGTTTGTGATAGGGTCTTGCTATGTAGGCTTGGAGCTCTAAGCAATCCTCCTTCCTCACTCATTCTCTTGAATAGTTGAGTCTGTAAGTATGTGCCACCACACTCTGGTGGGGTTTTTTGTTATTTGTTTTTTCCTTATGTAAATGCAGACTTATTTAAGAATATAATTGAATTTCTTGTCTATAAACTTATAAACCAGACTTGCTCTCATAATGCCTTCCTCCTCATAAAGACCCTGATGTAACTGGGCTGGATTGGGGTCTGCACATGAATCACAGTGGACAGGGTAAACGAAGGGAACCACATGAGTCCCAGGTGGATGTTCAGCAACAAGGCAGAGGAGAGCTGGTTGGTCCCTGACACCAGGTAGTATCAGTGGACACAATGGGATCAGTAGGGAGGAATGGCAGTGCAGCTCTTCAGTCCCTGACTCAGGCAGATCAGGGAGTTAACTGCTAATGCAGAAATCGACTTTTTAAATACAGATGGTGTAAAGATGTGAGGAAGAGTTTTACAGTGACAGAATCCTGAGCTCCAACAAGCTAGAATGAGGAGTTAAAGTCTAATGAGTCAATCTAAAACTGGGATATGTTACTGTTTTTAGTTTTTGTTTGTTTTGTTTTTAACACCCCTAATGGAGGTCACCATTTACAGAGGGTGGTGATAGGAAGGTGTCTGCATGGCTTAAACTCTTTGGAAGGGCCTTGGACAGTCTTGGGCACTCGAAACAAGTCCCAGTTGGTCAAAGCTCAACGTTTCTTTGCTTGGAAGAGGGAAGGCTGTTGGGGAAGATGGCCGGACTCTGAGCTTATCACAAATTGCACAATGTGTGCAGCTAATTTTCATTAATAGAATTGTAGTTATTCTTCGCTAGTTTCTTTAAGTGGAGTTCTGTTTTTGTGATTAATTTAATGACTTCATGGTCATGGTGTTATGTTGGCTAATTTATACCTTTTTTACCACCCCCTCCAGTATTTCTTTGTAGGATTGGGTTTAAGAGTTTATTATTTTTAGTTATGTGTATGTGTGTATATCTGTGTGGGTATGTGTAGGTGAGTGCAGGTGCCCACAGGGGCCAGGGGCATTGAATCCCCTCAGAACTGAAGTTACAGGTATTTGTGAGCCTCCTGACATGGGTGCTGAACTCAGGTCCTTCGTAAGAGCAGTAATTGCTCTTACCTGCTGAGCCAACTCTCCAACCCCTCCAATTGTAGGTTTTTTAAATTGTGAAAATGACTCTAAGCTTAAAGGTTAGAAAAAAAGTCAGTAGCCACACAGGGCTGGGAATGTAGTTCAGTGATAGCTTGCCTAACATGCACAGGGCCCTGGGTTTGAGCCCCAGTACCACAAAACAAAGCAAGACAAGGTAGCTGGGCATGATGGTATACATCTGTAATCACAGCCTTGAGAGGTGGAGGCAGAAGGCTCAGGAGTTCAAGGTCATCTTCACCATGAATTGGAGGCCAGTCTAGGCTACATGAGACTCTGTCTCAGGAAAACAAGAAACATCCACAGTCCTCTGTTACTCACTCTGCTGGAGCTTTTTGTAGCCCATTATGTTTATAGCTAGAACATCTCTTTTATAGCCTATTGTTTTCATTTAACACTGTTACATTATTTTCTCAGATGTTTAAGACTTTGCACTATTAATGATTTTTTGTGAAAAAATATACAGTATTTTGAATAATTTTTCCATAAGTTTTTCATCTAATTTCATATTTTTGGCATTTAGAGTTGCCCAGTTTTTCATGCTAAAATGTTATAATGGATGTTTTCATCTATATGCTTCCTTTGTCATCTTCCTTTTATTACAGAGAAAGTTATGTTTGGTCACTTTGTCAAAGAATGTGTTTGTTTTTTGTTTTTATTATATTTTTATTTTATGTTTATGAGTGTTTTGTATGCATGTATGTAAGTGCACCACTTGTGTGCAATGCCCACAGAGGTCAGAAGAGGGCATTGGATCTGCTGGAACTGGAGTTAACTGTTGGCTAGCCATCATGTGGGTGTTGGAAACCAAACCTGGTTCCTCTGCATAGCTGAGCCATCACTAGCTGGTCACTCACTATGTAGACCAGACTGGCCTCTGCCTCTGCCTCCTAAGTGCTGGGATTAAGGCCAGCCTTGGTTTTGTTTGCTTTGTTTTTTTTATAGATTGGGCTTCACTTTGTAGCCCAGCCTGGCCTGGAACTCACTATGTAGCCTAGATTGGTCTCAAATACAAGGCAGTGTTCCTGGACCATGACTAGCTAGGTCTTTCAGTCTTTTTTTCCCCATTTTTAATTGAATTTTTGCAATTTTCTTGCAATATAGTTTGATGGCATTTGGATCTGCTCCCTTCTCCACCTCCTCCCACTGCCTCCAGTCCAATTTAATGGATTCTCTTATATATGTAATATGGCCCATAGAGTATATGATTTGTATTCCCCAATGTCCTTTAGTGCAGATCCATTCACTGGACCCACCCTGTATGAAACTGTCTTTCCCCACTCCCAGCCAGCAGTCATCAATTGCCAAAAGTTCCTTAGGTTGGGCTGGGATTTCTTACCTACTTCCCCATGTCTATGCTGGGATTTTGTCTGGTTTGGGCTTGCATAGGATTTGTGCATACTGTCACCCTTGCTGTGAGTGAGTTCATATGAGTAACTGACAGGTGTTTGGAAGACTGTTTCCTTGTGGTCTTCCACCACCCCTGACTCTTACCATCTTCTATTTTTTTTCCAAATATTTTATCTATTATTTTTATTTTATGTGTATGAGATGAGTATATTGACTCCATGTAAGTGTACCCATGTTGTTCAATGCCCAAGGAGGTCAGAAGGTATTGGATCCCCTGGAACTAGAGTTACAAACTGTTATTAGCCACCATGTGCTTGCTGGGAAATGAATCTGGGTCCCTCTTAACTGCTGAGCCATCTCTTCAGCCCCCCCACCCTTTTTTTTTTTTTTTTTTTTTTTTTTTGAGATAGGGTCTTTTTGTAGTGTCAGCTGGTCTGGAACACGCTGTAGACCAGGCTAGGCTCAATCTTACAGATATCCATTTGCTTCTCTGTCTCCTGGGGGCTAAAGTTAAAGGTGTGTGCTACTATGCCTGGCTAAGTGCTTCTTTTTTTTTTTTTCCGGTCTTTTTGAGACAGGGTTTCCCTGTAGCCCCAGCTGTCCTGGAACTCACTGTGTAGACAAGGCTGGCCTTGAACTCACAGAGATCTGCCTGCCTCTGCCTCCTGAGTGCTGGGATTAAAGGCGTGCGCTACCACGCCCAGCTAGGTGCTTCTTTTTTAACTCATGAAAAATAGTAGCAAGGATGGTTGTTTCAGTGTCCAGAAGGCACTCTGTGAATTAGAACAACCTGTGCATATGTCAGTGTTTACAGATTTGTCTGCAGAGTTGCAGCCTTTTGATGATATTCTGTGGCCAATTTCTCACTAGTTTTTCATTCATAGAAACGCACAGCACCATCTGCACTGAAAACAACTTACTCAGAACGAGTGGCTCCAGATCTATCTAGGGGATGCTCCCAGAAGAGGTCCTCAACAGCCTCTCAGCTAGTGACAGTAGCTTATCCTGCCTCCAGAAGCGGAAGTATTCCTCCCTCACCTGAAGTTAGTGATGTGAAAGCCCCTGAGCGTCAAGACCACCACAGGGACATTCCTGTCCAGGTTTTTGTTCCAGTTGGTGACCAGACCCTTTCTGGATCCAGTGAGGAACTGTCACCACCACAAGCTCCTCCTCTTCCTCCCTCTCCCCCACCACCCCCTCTCCCCACTGTGTCCTCATCTTCTCAAGTTGCCACTCATCAGGATTTAGGACTCAGGACTTTAGTGACAGAAGACCAGCCCCTCCCTCTAGTGTGTGAGGCACCTGCTGGAAGACCTCGTAATTGCTTGGAGGATTTTCACCGTCCAGGTAATCTGCTGCAATTCTGCCCTCCACTCCCCATCAGTTTTTTTTTTTTTTTTTTTTGTCTTTTTGAGACAGGGTCTCCCTGTGGTCCCAGCTGACCTGAACTCACTATGTAGATCAGGCTGGTCTTGAACTCACAAAGATCCGCCTGCCTCTGCCTCCCAAGTGCTCGGATTAAAGGCGTGCGCCACCATGCCCTGCCCCCATCAGTTTTTAAGCTGTTGAAGTATAGCCTTAGAAGCCATCGGCTTCAAATCAGAATCTTTTTTTTTTTTTTTTTTTTAATGTGTATGCCTGTATTGCCTGCATGTGGGTAAGTGTCTGTGTCGTGCAATGCCTGAGGAGAACAGAAAAGGCTGTCGCATGCCCTGGGTCTGGAGTTATGGACAGTTGTTAGCTGCCATGTGGGTGCTGGGATTCAAACCCCGGTCTTCTGCAAGAACAACCAGTGTTCTTAACCACTGAGCCATCTCCCCAGCCCCTCAAATCAGAATTAAAAAAAAAATTCTTTAGTCTTAAAATATCCCAGTATTGGTTGCCTTGAGTTAATTACTCTTTTATTGCAGTTAATACAAGTGAAATTAAGTTTAGCAGATACTAACTTGGCCTGACAAAACATCTCTGCATTTACTGGTTGTGTGGCACATGGCATTTCCAAGGCTGTTAAAGAATCAGTCTATTTCAGGTTTCCTCAAACTTCAGCATGGATTTGAGTTCTGGCAATATTTTTCAGCATAGTTTTAAATGATGTTTACTGTTGCATCTCTGAGTCCTTTACAGAACTGAAGTGTTGGATTTAAGGGGGAATATTGCTCGGGAATTATTCTAGAGGAATAACAGCCAATGTGTAGACTGACAGATAAAAAAGTGGGCCACCTTTATCTTCACACTGAATATACTCGAACATTTGTTTAACGAGGGCTGTGTTCTCATGTATAATTCTAATTATGGCTTTAGACACTGGCTATTGAGCGAGACCAGCCTGACTTGTCAAGACTTGGAGCCTGTTCCATTGAGGAGGGTGTTTTAGAGAAATCCTAGTAAAATGCTATGTTCTTGCTCCAGCTGCTCCACCTAGAACACACAAGGTCATCTGGACAGGGATGAGCATGAAGCCCATGCAATGGTCAGTCCCATGCTGGTTCTGGTTAATCGAGCATTCTGATTATTCTGAGCTCAGGGCTTCTCTGCATCCAGAACAAGGTGCAGTGAAAATGCTGAGGTGACACACAAACAACCCCTGCCTGTAGGGTTTGCAGTATCACATGAATGTGACAGAAAAGTCAGATTTTGGATGGGGGAGCTAGTCCCAGCCCAGGTTTAATGCACACAGTTTTGGGGAGCTCTGTCAATTCACAGACAGTACTCTATCACACTAGAGAGTGAGAGAGTGTGAATGAGAACCAAAGAGTGCCCTTGATTGTGGAACCTGCTTTATCACTCCTAGACCAGGACTGCAGTTGGGAGGTCCAGAATGAAACAGTCCTTGTTAGCCATAGCCCAGTTTACAATCTCCAACTAGAAATGACTGTTAATCTTGAAGGCTTGCCTAGAAGATGTCTAAATTAGTGCTACAGTCTGTGTCCAGCAGGTCACAAAGATTTTATCCTCTCAGGGTCTCAGAGTAAAAAAATAGCTTCTCATCAGTGCCTTGGAACTCTGAGCTAATTTGTGTTTTGACTGCATTTCACAGTCTCAAAAATAGAGCACATAGCCACCTCAGGGTGAGGTAGGTGGAATTAAACATACTGTGTACAGGAAATGTGCCAGCACCTCCTCTCCTGGTCCATTGAGCTGCTGACGAGCATTTCACTTCATCCTTTCTGTGTGTGGAAACCTACTGGCTTCATTATCACAAAATGAATCACTGACTAACTTCCAAGGCTGAAGTTAGAGAATACAGCAGGATACACTTTAAGATGTTTGTATGTGGGAAGGGAAATGGAGGAGGCACAGTCCTGAGGGAGCTTAGTCACACCAGCAGGTGGATTGTTTCTACCGCAGGCATCCTTAATTCTTTAGGGTATCTTTAAAAAGTCATTTCAACAAATGTATTTGAAGAAGTTAATGGAGTCAAGAGAAAACAGTTACTAAACTGTCCTGATAGAAACAGGAAGCTTATTGTCGATGTGACACATAATCAGTGCACTGTTCATTGGCTCAATGGAATGACGTGTATTTGTTGAAATCCATTAACTGGTATGTTTTCCTGGAAGCCTGGTTTTTAGTCATACTTGTTGTGTTTGCTCAGCTTCAGGCTCTATGGATGAAGTGTTGGCCTCTCTACGGCAGGGCAGAACCCCTCTCCGGAAAGTAGAAGCTCCCACCTTACTCTCTCCCCACACCTCAGTCAATGAACAACTTCTAGCTGCCATCAGGCAGGGGGTCCGACTAAAGAAAGTCCACCCGGACTCAAGTGTGGACCCCAGCAAGAAGCCCAGCAGTGACCTGGAGAGGAGCATCCGGGCAGCACTGGAAAGAATCAAGAGAGTGTCTGCTGACTCAGAGGAGGACAATGATGAACAGAGCCCTGGCGAGTGGGACCGCTAAGGTCTTCTCCAGATGACAAAAGCAGACAGATCTATAACATCTGGAGCATCAAGGCTTGCATCAGACACTGGGCTTGGATGTTGCAGCCTTAAATCTGGGGAGGACAACAGAGGTGTGACCATCATACACCAACCCATAGATGGATGGGTTGAATGTGGAACCTGTAGTGCCTCTGGTCTGAAGAAGAGTACTTAGAACTCACCATGCCTACCTGACTCAGGAAGGTTACAGCACTCTGATAAACAGCACATTAGACTACTGACCATGTACTCCTGGGTGTATGAATAGTGGCTCCTCAGATTTAAAGGCTCAAATGTGAACATTATTTTAACAGTAATCAGAATAAATTGCTTATATTCCAGAATTATTTTAAATATTTAAATTTATATTATCAAGCACTCTATAAAATCAATAAACTACTATTTATGATGCATCTATGTTGTAGGGAAATGGAAGCAGGGTCTGCCTGGGTGTTTCCTAAGGTTTTAGATGAGTGTTTAGTTGAGCAAGTACTAAGGGCACAAGAACAGTGTTGCTGACTTCATGAACTGGTCTTACACCAGGGTCTTCTCTCCTTTGTGTACAGTTAGGAAAGAGGAGGATACCAATACAAAGAAGCCTATTCATTGCTCAGACTGCCCAGGTGTTCCTATAACCTCATTACCCTAACTCTTGGGTCATCAATCCTAGGTTTCTATCAAACAAAATGAACCTGATTTCCTTGTTTCCAAAGGAAAGTCCTATTGTAGACCACAAAGTTGCCCACTTCCAGTTTCTTCTTGACTCAGTCTGGCCTATACCAACCTGGCATTGCTGGGAGGAATTTTGAGTCCTTCAGCTGCTGTGCCTGGACCTGCCTCCATGGCCTGACTGGAGATCCTGCAGTATGGCCACTGTTGGGCTGCACATGGGGCCTACCACCTGTCCCACGTCCCCAGAGCTCAGACTGCCTGAAGGCAGCTCTTTCCCAGCCTGGCCTTGACCTCACTGATGTGTGGCAAGTCAGCACTGGGGCACACTGGCCCTGTGCTCACGGTTCCCTCACGGGTGCCCAAAGGTGTTCAGTTGGGGGCTGGGGAGACGTGCCCTGCAGGCTGCTTGCTGGGCTTCAGTTCCATACCTCTAAGGCAGCTCAAGTGTCTTCGCCTCAGGCCTCCTTCACTACTGGAGGCAGCAAATTATTCCTCTGAAAATAATTTGATATTTGAAAAATGGCAAAATCAACTTTGTGGGACTTCAGCTTATTTTTAGTTTGGCATTGTTTTTGCTTTCACTCTGCATTGTAGTTTCGGTATTGTAAGAGTCCAGGGAGCATATTCAGGTTCAGATAATTCTCAGAGTTTGCTTTTGAGGGGCTGCCTTTGAAAAAGCGACTTAAAAATTGTTCTCAAAGTTCTTTGTTGATTATCTTGGTGCAGTGGAGAGGTGAGGGCAGAAAGATCATGAGTCTGAGGTCAGCCTAGGCTACAGTGTGAGACCCTGTCTCAAGAAAATAAAGTTCCTGGTCCAGTTATGTCTGTAGCGTTACAAAACTTCTCTAGAACTTTCATTTAGCCCTTGCCTGCCTTCTTTCAGGTAAGTCCTGATGTAAATCCATACTCTGGCTTCTGAGATTCAGAGCCATGGAGAGGAAACTCCTATTGTTTGACTCCAAACCTTCCAATCCACTCTCCAAAGTGCTGCTAATCAACCCTTTGCCTTCCTGCCTTTCCAACCTACTCAGGGTAAGGGCTAGCCCTGCTGCCTGGTACACAAGTCCTCAGAGGCCTGGCTGCTGTTCCTTGGGCAGCACCCTTCCCCACTGCAGATCTTAATCTAGTGCCCCCCCAGATAACCCTTCTCTGAAGCCTAAGTACCTGGAATTTGCACCCCTCTTCTTCCTTGTCCTGACAAACTCAAATGCATTCTTCAGTCTCAATCTCATATCTTTCTCCTCTGATGTCTTCCTGACCCCTTTTCCCTCACATGACCACTGAGCCTTGTTTCTGGTATCAGTGTTGCTACCTGTCTTGTCCACAGCATTGAATACAAAAGTAGTCCTTGGGTCAAGGCTATAACTTGGTACAGTGCTTCCTTTGCATGCATGAAGCCTTAGCATCATATGTAGCCTGGCTTAGTGGTACATGTCTATAATTCCAGCACTTGGGAAGCAGAGGTAGGAGGATCAGGAGTTCAAAGTCATCCCTGGCTACATAATTACATACATACATAGGTAGCCCAGTGGGGTCATGTTTCATACAGAGCTGTTTAGGGACGGATATGGTCCTCGAGTGGCCATATGCACTGGCAGCATCCTCTGAATTGTTCCAGAGCAAAAACCTGAGCTGTACAATCAGATGGATTCATTCATTTGAATAATCATTTTAATCAGAAATCAAACAAGTTGTGGTAGGAGAATGAAAGGTTTTTGATTAATGACCACACATCCTGTGAAACCATGTATAACATTTAGCGAGCAGAGATTTTAAACCTCAGGTATGTGGAGTCATGTGATTATCTTAGTGTTCTGTTGCTGCCCAGACAAGTTACTACAAATGCATAAATGCAAAGGCTTTTAGACAACGTGAGCGATAAATAATGCCTAGTTTAAAAAAAAATCAGATGTTAACCTACTGACAAATTATACATATAACTAGCTCAAGGAATATATGTCTAGGCAAGGTTTATCTGAGAACGTTTGGTCTTTGCCCAAGCTTTATCTACATGGTACACGGTAATTAAAAGGACCAGCCTGGTGGAACTAACCTTGGGTGTTTAACAGCCATACTTTGAGGTCTATACTAATTTGTTCAGAGAGACTTAAAGGACAGTTTTTGCTCCTTGCCCTCCAAGGTCGACTAAGCTCCAGAGGACTATGAGCATCTCTCAGAATGTCCTGTTAACTGCAGTGAGTAACCTGTCCTCTTGATCAAGGAGGCCAATGGAGACCCCATAAAATGGACTTGAACCAGTGTCCAGTCTACAAAGGGGGAGGGTCAACACAGAGGAAACATTTCTTCCATGCTTCCAAGCGAAGCCAGCCATGGTCGAGCAGGACCTTTGACTTGTCTTCACATAAATGCAACTGGTAATAGAAAGGAGCCAGGGGTTCCTCCCAAGCCCGTGTGACCCCTGAGGAACAGATCTTCAAATGGCCTTCAGAGTAAAAATAAATTGGTTTATCTGGGCCAACTGTATGGTCTTCAACACCCAAAAGGAAAGCATAACCAAAGGAAAGTATAACCAAAGATTAAAGGGGTCAATATAATTTTTTAAGAGTCCATGTGTATAGCTAACGGCTACATAACAAGAAACAATACCAGACAGGAGATACCTTCCTTTGAGTTATTGGCCAGGATGGCTCAAGAGACTCCCAGGCAGTAACCCAGCATAGAACTGGGAAAATGAACAGCAGACCCCATCTTATCTAAAGGAATATTGAAAAACAAGGACCCAGGTAGGCTGACTAGATTCAGAAGATGGACAAGCACTGGGGAATGCCTGGGGGCGCTGACAACAGTGGAAGGTAACAGGGATGACAGAGTATATTGGCTCCAGTGTGTGTGTTGGGGGGGGGAGGCTATGGGAGGGTGTCATTTGGGAAGTGGGTATATAGATAAATAAGATTGTTTGGGATGTTCTATATGATATACACACACAAAAATCAACAAATAAAAAAATGAGGAAGAAGCATAAAAATTTGCTTCATGTTAATTAGTAGAGGTGAAAAAATTACCATTGAAATCTACCTGATGACTTTATATCAATACTCAGATGCTAAGGATCCGAGTGTAACTGACTGTGACTAGTAATAATCAGATAATAGAGATTAGAGACGCATGTGCAAACATCTGTTAGTAGCATTAAAAATGAGTTTTTCTAGACCCAGGGTACTCATTCCTTTGTAAGTTAATAAATGTACATAACGATGTTAAAAAAAGAGTTTTTCTGTAGGAAACAGTATATTTTAAAATGAAATGGAGATCTTTTTTAAAGGTTAAAACCTCATTCAATTTTATGTCTTATAGGGTTTATGACGAGTTCAATATTGTATAACTATTAATTCAACTGTGAACCTAAACATTTACAGCCACTTTTGGAAAAAGATGCATCTTTGCTCTGGAAATTGTTATTGAAAATGTTAAAGATGTAATGAAATGCTTCTTCTAATCATGTGGTTACAAAATAAATAATAAAATAAAATAAAATAAAAGCACACACTATTTGCTTATTAGGATCTCAAAAAGCCCAGGTTGGTCTCGAGCTCACTACGTAGCTGAGGATGACCTTGAGTTCCTGATCCTCCTGCCTCTACCTCCCAAGTACTGGGTTTACAGACAGGCATGTGCCACTGTGCTGGGCTAACACATATTTATTCACAGAGCTCTGAAGGTCAGAAGTCTGACATGGGTCTTACCAGCTAAAATCAAAGTTTCAGTAGGACTGCACTTTCTGAAGGCTCCATTCTCTCTCCTTTCCTGGTTTCTACATGTTACCTGAGTGTTGGGTCTCCGGGACCCTCATAATTGTGGCATAATTTATGACGAGGCCTATTGTAACTTCCTGAGCCTGACTAAAGTTTGGCGACCTGTCTCTGGCCGGTCACTTCCTCATGGAGGTGACTCAGCAGGGCCCAACCTCGGACTGCCTCTCCCCAAACACAGCTGGCATGGCCAATTCCCAGTGGCTCACAGCCATTGCCCCAGATGACATACACCTTTGCCCTTCCCTTTTCCACACCCCTTTTTGTTTAAACTATATAAGGTAATGCCTGATGCAATAAAGTGAGTTCCTGCCTCGACAAGACTCCCGACTCGGTGTGGTTTTTGAGTCGCCGACACTCACCATCCCGCTCAGCCCCTAGGAGAGGAACACAGGCTGGTCCTGGCCTCTCTCCCTGTGCAGTACCTGTCGGAGAGCGATCCGACCCCCGAGTTCCTTTGCTTGTGTTCCCTTCCTGTCTCCAAGGCAGCAGTTTGTCTCTCCCTGACCCTTCTACCACCATCAAATCTCTTTCTGACCCCTGCCTGGAAGGGGTCTCTGCCTATAAGAACTCGTGATTATACAGGATTCACCCACACAGTGTGTGTGGCTTCCCACTTGAAGGTTCCTTTTTCTTTTTAACAGTCATTGGTTCCAGGGATTAGGATGTGGATCTCTCTAAGGCATTTGTTAGAAGGCAGATTGCCAGCCTGGTCTAGGGGGAAGGCCCAAAGGGTGAAGGCCCAGTGCAGAGCATTGTAGACACAATGCAAACAGACAGACAGGACAGGGAAAAGGGAAGGAAGAATACACCAGTCTGCCGTACAGACCTGCTGCTGTGCTCCTCTGTGCTGGAGGTAGTCAAGGGATCCTTTCAATACTCGATGGTGTGGTTTCCTGTGCAAACGCACACCTGGTTTATGAACTAGTCCCTTTGTGTTAAATCAGTCCAACCTGACATCTGTGGCTTCAAACAGGAAACAGCTATAGAGGGGGTCTCTGGAGTCAAAAGCACAGAGTCACAAGTCACAGTGGTTCCTGTAGTACAGGACAGCTGAGCATATCATGTGTTCCCAAGCATACAAAAGAAAGAATTGGGGAGGGGACAGAGATAGATAGAGGACAGCTCAGGAGATATGGGTTTCATTCCCCTGTATGATCTGAGGAACATGTTGTAAGCCCTCCCAAACCATCCAAGACTCACCTCAGGAGAAAGGTCAAACCCAGAATTGCTGGAGCCTGGTACAACAGGGCTTAAAATAGAAATTAAATAAAGGAAATATAGAGGGCAAATTTCCTTCATTCCTGAGCTGAGGGCTGGGATTCACACCTACACATTTGGGAAAAGGTGGTTCTATGCCTGGCACAGACTTTGTTGTGTGGAGAGCCTGTTGAAACCACCCTGCAAAGGTCTGTTCTAGTAGGATGCGTCTCTGAAATCGGTTTTTTTTCTACTCAGAAGACTAGCACAAGGAAAGTATTGGTGGCTGAGAGGAGTCTCAGTATGGTCCGTTGGGGCAGAATATAACCAGCTGTGCGGCAGCCATCTCTTAAAGGTCCCAAGGTGAGACTGCCCCAAAGCAGGAAATGGGAATGTTCACATATTCCAATCATCCTTCATTTTGTTCTAAAGGACTCCACCCAGATTGCCAGTCTTTTTAAAAAATATTTTATTACGTTTTATTATTTTATGTATGAGTGTACTGCCTACATGTATGTAAGTGCACCTGTGTTGTGCAATGCCTGTGGAGGTAAGAAGAGGGCACTGGATCCCCTGGTAGCAGAGTTAAGTTCTTAGCTGCCATGTGAGTGCTGGGAACTGAACCTGGGTCCTCTGCAAGAGCAGTCAGTGCTCTTAAGCACTGACCCATCTCTCCAACCCCCTAGACTGCCACTCTTGGTCTGCTCAGGAAGTGGCCTTTGAGAGCATCGGCCTTCAAAGATTTCCAAAATATCTTGTTAAGGCACAAAGGTCCTCTGAAGTATTTTTGTTAGCTTAAAAACACACACAAAGATTTTACTGAACTATGTATTTCTACATAAGCAACTCTATTACAATAAAATCAGGTAAAACAAAGGTATACAAGCCTTCAAGAAAAATAATTTTCCCCTTAAATATAAAACGGTCATTTGCCTATATGGAACAGACACACATAAAAAAAACACTGTTAGATACATAAGAGAAAAAGACAGAAATACAATAGTATTGGGAACAAAACTTTCTTAATCTTTAATGAATCAAATAAATAAAAATTAAAGGTCCCTAATAGGATATTTAGTAAGGTCAAATTAATACATACAGACAGAATATTGTTGCTTTCAAAGAATATACCTTCTCCAATTTCCTGGGAATCTTTGTTAAAACAAAAAACTAATCAGGTCCTAACAAAATATTAATGAACTCCAAAATGCACAAATTGTACAGGCCATACCCTCTTTGACAGCAAGGCAATAAAAGTAAAAGTTTGTAACAAATATTAAAAGCAACAGCAACAAATATTAAAGAATCTAGAACTCTAAAAGTATAATTTAAAATAACTCCTCAGTAAAAAATAAAGTCAAATCTGAAATTCTAAATGATTTATAACAGAATCAATCACCCATAAAAATTTATGGGACACAGATGTATTCAGAGGAAAGGTCAAAGTCTTACAATGTTACTGTGTCTTCTCCAAAATAAGAAAAAGATGGTATTTAACTTGAAAGGGTAGAAATAAAGAAGAAATAAGAGCAAAACCAATGAATCAAAACATGACTGAACAAGGAATTAAGTTATAAATCCCAGAGCTAGTTCTTTGGGAAAAAATTAATAAAAATTGACTAATTCTATAAAAATAATCAGATGAAAATTTTAAATCGCTGATGCACAACATTAAGAAGGAGGGAACAGTACAACCCACATCAACAAATCTGAAAATACTAATAAGAATCAGTATTGGAGAAAATTTAAATTTTCAAAAGCCTTACAGAATAGCGAGAAAGTTTGAAGAGACCAAAGAGTGTAGAAAAAAACTGAAAAAACATCAAAGGATGAGTTCTTTAAAAGGCACTAGACTGGACAGTTTTATATATGTTATAAAAAACTTCAAAGAGCAAAAAATTCTAAATATTTGAACTATTCCAGGGCATAGAAAAAGATATAGAAAGTTTCCCTATATATATTTTAAAGGAAGTTAACATAAAAATAGCTGATAAAGACAGCAGAAAAATCACAACTGCCCATCTTTTTAAGATAGAAAATTCCAAAATAAAATGAGAGAACCAAATCTGGGAAAATGTCTTCTCATTGTAAAGCTCTTAATTTTATTACACAAGTAATACACAACTTTTGTAGAAAAATTGGAAAGCACAAGTAAACCCAAAATAAAAATGTACCACAGGCTGGCCAATCCTAAATAACCACTGTTAACATTGAAGGAAAATGTGTATTAAGAAAATATATCATGGCTGTATCAAAGTTTTGCAGAAATGTAGAGACAGTTTAACATTAGCAAACTTACAATGACTCATCTTAAGTCATAATAGGGAATAAACATTGGTCTGCATGACAGACATGTCCTAAAATCCCAGCATCCCTTACTGATAACGTTATTAGCAAACTAGAAACAGAAGGGCATAACTTGACTCTATAACTAAGTCAAAGGTATACTTCTGTAGAAACACTAGACATATTCTCACTAAGGGAAGAGCATATAAAGAACCATGTTCAGGACCAGTACAATCATATATGCATTGTTTACCATTATTATAAAAGTGCTGGTCAATGGGACCAAAGGTAAGAAAGTGAAAACATGGAGATACAATTATCACCACCACCCAGAATTATTACCTATTCTGAAGGAAGGCAAAAGAACAAAAGTATTAGAATGCAAAGAATTCAGTAACAAACTAGTGAAATAAACTAGTGAACAAGCACTTGCTACTCTCCTACGCAGAGCTAAGAATGAGGTAGACCAATGCTGCCTGATGGCCAGGATCTATTGCAAGTAAAAGGCACAAGCAGCAGAGGGCCGTATCAAGCTGTCAAAATGTTAAAACATACATTAGGGAAAAAATTGAGAATTATATATTAAGAGCTGATTATCTTGGATCAGAGGGATTTTAATTATAGGCAACTTTCATTTTCTACAGTTTTTTTTCCATGTTTAAATTTATAGAACTTTTATTTGGTGCTTAAATTAGAAAACCAAGGGTAGGAATTTTCATTAAACAAAGGAGTGGCACTCCTTTACGCTAACAGTAACCAGTTGGAAAATATGCCATTTACAACAGTAACCACAACTAAAAAATTACCCTTATTAGAAAAAATGGACTGAGGGACATAAAACTGAACATGATTTATTGAAATGAAACAGGAAATACTATAAAGATGTTAATTCTATTGTAACATACAAGTCTTATATAATCCAATTTCCAATTCTCCTAAACATTACAAAATGCTCCCTGAATTTCTTTTGGCTATATTAATATGTAAAATATATTGGGAAATTTTAAAAAATTGTATTAGCAGAGACTTTAAGCCTAAAGTTAGGATGACAAAACAGTGTGGTACCAGCACTAGAAAATTCAGGCAGGTAAGGACCACAGTAGACACAATTAGAACAGTGTACCCACTGGAAGGATTGGCTATGTAGTAAAAATGCATTTGACAGCAGTAGAGAAACACATTCTCCCAAACAGTGTTGATACAACTCAGAAAATAAGTTCCAAGTAGAATGGAGAGGTGGCTTTGTTATTGTTTTTTTTGGGGGGTGGGGAGCTTGTTTTTGTTTTTTGAGACAGGATCTCCTGTAGCCTAGACTGGTCTCAAACTTGTTACATAGCTGAAGCTAGCCTTGAACTCCTGGTCCTCCTGCCCATACCTCTCCCAAATACTGGGATTATAGGGATGTGCCACAATGCCTGGGTTAGATCAAATATTCAACTGTTTGAAGAAATAATGAATTTGTAAGAATAATATATTGATGAATAGAATATACTGGAATTAGAACTGGAAAGACCTTCCTAGACTTGATAGTAAAGGTAGTGACTTAAAGGAAAAGACAGATTTTACTGAGTTTTTTTTTAAGTTTAAACATTTTTCTAAAAGCCATAATACAACTTAAAATTTTTATAATATTTATGAAAAAATCTTAGAAATCAATGAGGTTGCTGTTGTGTGGTGGAGCAACCCTGTAATCCCAGCATTGGGGTGGCTGAGGCAGAAGGATTTCCACAAGGCTAGTGTGGTCTACAGGGTAGGACAGCCGGAGCTACATAGTTAAGACTTTTTGTCTCAAAAGTATAAAAATAAAGTTTAGTGAGACCACTAATTACCTTATAAAGAAAATGGCCCCAGATGAACAATAAAAGTCATATTTTCGACAGAAATGTACTTCTCTTGCTGCTGCTCCATGCTAGAGGCAGTGTTACGGAAGGGCAGGGCATTCTCACATACTGCTAGTGAGGGTATATTTGGGGTGGGGAACCATCATTCTGAAAACACAATTTGAAGCAACATATGCATGTTTGAAAACATAAAGATAATGTGTGTATTTTTAAATTGTCAGAATAGAGATGTGTAGTAAAAAAATTAACCCTGAAATCCCAGTGATCTAAGACTTAAAGTTGACTATTCACATCACATTTGTGTAGGTTGGTAGATGGAATGAAATGAAAGGGAGTGTTCACACAGTCACTCAGGGACCCAGGCTGGGAGAAGGTCTACCCCGGACATCACCATTTGCTAAGGCAAATGATTGGAGACACTAAGGCCATGCCTGGGGCAGGCGAGAGTCTCTGCTAGACTTTCACGTTCCTTCCATTTTACACCCCACTTGCCAGAATCAGTCACAGGACCACGAATGACTGACTAACTGCAAAGGGCTGGTGAGTGGAGTTTCCTTGGGGTCCAGGAAGAGAAGGAGCCAGAAAGTTCAATTTTAGAAATTTATTTTAAGTAAATACTCTGAAAAGTTTACAAAGATGTCAGAATAATTTTGCCATGTCCTGACTACAAGAGTAGAAAATTGGAAACAGCCTAAATATCCAAGTTCTGACCTACGGAGCATTAAAAAAGGCATAATTACATATTTACTGATATAGAAATACATTCACAATATAGTGTTGAAAGAAAAAAAAAGCAAGTTATAGGACAGTATGGTTAAGATGATTATATTTCATGGCAAAAGCAATAAAGCAAAAACAGATGCATGGATAAAAAGCCTGAAGAGACAGATATGTTAACAGTGGTTATAACCAGATGGTGTAACAACGGGTGGTTTTTTCTTTTTATTTATCTTTAGCTTTTATTTTCTTTTTAAAAAAAAAGTACATATTACTTAGTACCAAAAAAGCATTTAAAAAGAAAAAAAATAGTACTCTTGGAAGAGGTTACTTATCCAACTCATATGTAGTATTCTCTTTCAGCTGATGTAAGAAATGTCTTCTTGCTGTTACATCACAAGACACTGCTACAGGGACTGAAAGGACTTTCTACCTAAAGTACAGGGGGAGGTGGGGAGGATGGGACAGCAACGAGTCCCCAGCACATCAGTCCTGCCAATCACCTGACATAATGTAGGCATTTGGACTCCACTGTGGCTCATCTGGGCTCCTGCCAGGGGTCCCTGTGGCCGGGAGACCACTCTGCAGCAAGTGCTGCCCTGCCAAAGAGAATAGGGCACTGTACAATTCCACACTAAACAGAAGACCCAACAAGTCTTGTAAGTGGATTCCAGAACATTTAGCATCATCACCAGAAATACGCAAAGAGAGATCCCTCCTGGGTATATAGTTTTGACCAAACTCTTCCCAATGGTTTCTCCTGCTTCCCTCTTGCTGCTTCCCCCTGCTATACTCACACATGCACTCACACTTACACACATGCACACACTCATGCACACACACATACACACTCATGCACATATATGCTAGTCCTAAATTCACCAGAACATTCCATAGAGCTCAAAATCCGTACCACAACCACCTGCTAGGCCTGTTTTAAAAAGGACTTACATTCTTGAGACAGGTACAAGGAAAATACATGTAAATGACACATTTCCATTCAGGACTCCCCCTCCATGCCATCATACTCACTGTACCCAGAATACAGGATATGTCTTTGGGGAAGCCATGTACTCAGAAATCATGGTTCATTTAATGCAGGCACATCACTCAGAACATGTATGGATATTGATTTGAAAGCTTCTAGTCTATATTGCAAATGCTTCAAAATCCAGTGATGTTCCCATGAATCAAAGAATTGTAACTTCTAGAAGGGTGGATGGTACAAACAACCCACTTTCAGTGTTAGCAGAGTGGTGGCTAGCACCTCCTATAGAGCAGCCTCCTGTCAGTGCCTATACTAGCTCACATGCCAGGTCTCAGGATAAGGTCTGTGGCACACCTGAGTCTCATCCAAAGTCACCTCTGGAGTCTGTAGAAAAGGAGACTTTGTAGAAAAAGGGAGGGCCACTTGCAAAATGGGCTGTGATGCTTCCAGGGAGCACGTGAACTGTATCACATGCCACACTCTATTTGATGTCTCACATCAAATGCAGTACTGCCCAGCATGTTGCTGGAGGCTGTGCCTGTGCAGCCTGCAGGCTGAGTAGCAGTCTTTCACTCATGCAATCTGCTCTAAGCACTGGACAAGTCTGCCTCTGTCCAGCTCTGGCTCATCTTAGACTGGTGCTCTTTGAACCAGAAAGCTGTCTACATTTGCAGTCTCAGGCCTTTTGCTTTTATTTATTTTAATTAGTTAATTGTCTTTTTGAGACAGGGTCTCCCTGTAACCCCAGTTGGCCTGGAACTCACTATGTAGATCAGGCTGGCCTCAATCTCACAGAGATCTGCCTGCCTCTGCCTCCTGAGTGCTGGGATTAAAGGCATGAGCCATCATGCCTGGCCTCTTTCACCTCTTTTCAAAAGAGGACTCTGTTTCCATTAAGCCATCAGTGAAGAATTTAAAGCCAGTATGTGTTCCACTGAACTGGCATCTCAGAGCACAGAGATAATTGGACAGGTGACTATAAACCAGAATCATTACAAAATGGAACTTATTAAGTCTAATTCTGCCTCACTCCTGTGTAAGCTGTTCTTTGCTATAAACCCACCTAAGGGTCACCAAAGGGAGAAGAGTGATGTGGCTCATAAGAAAATAGCGGACTGACGTCCAGGAGACCTGGGTATAGGGCTCACGCTGCTGTTCCCAGCTGGGTGGCCATTCTGCCTTTGCTTCCTATCAGTAGCAATCTCTGCCTAGCTCTTTCATCCAATTAAGGTCTAAAGTGATGGCTCCTGGGGAGATGAAATGGAAGGAGATGGTCACAGGTCTAGTATGGGGTCTGCTTCTCCTTCCCATCAAGATCTGGCCAACCTGTCTTTTAGTGGCTTCACATTTCCTGTGCACCAGAAAGATGTCCTCTTTCCGTGCCAGCTTCAACTTAGAAATGCATCCACTTGGGTCTTGATTGGAATGAAAGTTATTATATTTTTAAGTACTGCGGTTAAAGGGTTCTGCCTTTTACTTGGACTCATGTGAATCATTGTAGAAAGAAAGCTAATCAAGGTACAGACCGCCACCTTGGAAATGCTAAAAACAGAGCTCATTTGGAAACCAGAAATGTAGTCCGGGTTCTACAGGCAACGTGGTGCAGCTGCAATGGCTTGGGAGGGAACAGCTCCCACCCACCTGCACAGGTTTGAGGTCATGACAACAGTCCCAAGACCGGGCTGGACATTGTAATAAATGAGGGTCTGTCATAGTATCTGAGTGAACACTGAACAATTTCAGTGGGCCATTTGTACTATATGAAGCCTACCTTTTGCAGTGCCAGAGGCTGCAGACAGGGCCAGCCCCTTTTGACTGCTCAAGTTGTTTCTGGGCCATTATTTTTCTCAAAGGAAAACAAATGAAGAAACAAGATCTTTAGAGAAAAGCAGATGGAATGGAGGTTCGGTGCTTTTGTGGAGTTCTATGGTTTTACTGTGGAACCTAGCTCCCCTTTAGAGGAGTCCTTAGGCTGTCAGCTCCTGGGCTGTGACAGTTTAGGGCTGGTTGAGCCCAACAGTACAAGGACTGTTAGCCTTACCTACTAGCTACAAGAAGTTTGCTGAACTCTTCAGTGGCTAATAAAAGGGGTTGTGGGTCTTGACCTCACAGCAGCCTACTTGGTAATGACTTCCAGAACTTTCTACATTTGGAACACATTCTGAAGTCACTGCCATGAGCATGAGGGCGTGGTCTTAGCAACTACCTTCATACGACCATGTCACTGGATCATGCTCCAGTCAGCCAAGAGATATCCTTTTAGATGAGTGATCACCTGGAGATGGAGGCGCAGTCATCTGAAGTCTGAATGGAGGGATCCCAGGGTCCACTGCTCTTGGGCAGCCAGCCATGTGCCCATGTTGCTGACAGACAGAGGGGCCAGGCTAGCCTAAGAAGAGTCTCCTTTGACCCCATGCTGGGCCACAGCCAGCCCACTTCTCTGCTCTCCTGGTATACCAGTAGGGAGCTGCTACTGTCTTGAGAGCCATCGGGAGCTGTGACGAGAGGGCAGGGCTGGCAGTGTCCTGGGCTAGATCATACCAGGGCTGACAGTGCTGTCTATTTCCTCCTAAGAGTCCTGTGTGCTCAAGACCCCTCAATCTGTGGGGTCTCCCCTAATATATTTTAGCATTCCATATCACCAGCCTTCCCTCCTTTCTTATGCCAAGTAAGACTTCATTGCTCAGAGAGACTGCTTAGCTAGGACAAGAAGAGCCAAGGACTCAGAAATCACCACAGGGCCTTGGTCATGTCCATGTGAACCAGTTTCCTCCTTGGGTTGTTTTCTCATTCTAACCCTGTGTGAACATATATCTAGGGGGAAACGCTTAGGCGGTTATTAGAGGAGTAGGGGACACCAAAGTCTCACCTTTCCCAAGGCATTTAAAAGTATGGGGGAGTCATGGACATGGGGGAGATCATTGCCTCATGTGGGCAATCTCTTCTAATGAAGGATGCTCGTGGATCTGAATGCCCACTGGCTCCACTAAGAAGCTCTATGTGAGACCAGTGGTTTATGGCAACAAGCAGACCTGGGCAGAGGATCTCTGTCACTGAGACCCAGGCTTGCCAGTTGAGGCAGGAATCTCACTCTCATGGGCCTGCAGGATTTTCTCTCAGTTGTTCAAACCCATCATACAGTCCCAGCTTGGGAAGCCCCTACAGCCATGCATATTCTGCATCCTAAAATCCTCAGGCTACAGCCACCCCCCTACCCCTGCACCTAAAGAAGGTGATCCTAAGGGCAATCTCCTCAAGGGGCAGAACATTATGGCTGGGCTCCTGATGGGATGGTCCATTGCCCTCTGTCCTATAAGCCACCTCTAGGTTTGACCACAGTAAATTGTCATTTCTGATAACTATCCCAGCACAGCAAAGATGGTGTATCATTCAACAAGAGTCTGAATTCTGCTGTGGGATTTGATTAAGAAGCTAAATTCTGTTTACATATTTAACTGAATGATGTTTATTAAGCACCTATTTTGTGCCTGGCACTGTGCTAGGCACCCTCACTGCAGGCTGTTTCCACAGCATTAGCATTTGCTCTGAAATGAAAACCCAAGAAAAGGAACATTGTCACAACCATACAGATTGGGGGAGGATGGGACATCATAGATGCAGACGATTCCTTTGCCAGAAAGCACACCCCCCCCTCAATTTTTTTTCTTTCTCCTGGTAAGTCTCCACTAGTTGGGTGCTTTCAATCAGGTATATCCAACCTACAGCCCATGGGCCACATGCAGCAGAGGACAGTTATAAATGTGATCCAACACAAAAATCGTAACTTAAAACATAGTGAGATTTCCTTTCAATTGTTTCTGGAATTTAATTGTGCAGTTCAAGTGTGAACTTTGTGGATGATGATGTCACATGGCAATGTCAAAAGGTTGGACATGTCTGCTAAAGCATCAAAATGTTTACTGAGAGATGATGCTTCCTCCATGCACCCATGGACTGGAGCCTGATGGAGAGTCACATTCTGAATGTTACCCAATAAGAGATGCTCAATGGCCTGTTGTAAAGGATATTGATATTTGGATTAGGAAATACTTTGCTTTTTCCAGTTCATAAGGTTGCAACATCCCTCAAAGAAAGATATAAACATTCCTGCCCTAACTGTGTAAATGTTTAAGGTAGACCACATTCTGGATTCCTGAGTCAGAAGCTTCCAGTTGTCCACAACCTCACAAGGTCAGAGCAGTGAGAGATGTTTCTATTCTGGAGAGGAGTGAGAGGACAGAACAACTGGTTTGGAGACACGACAGTATGCGCCTGCATTTATAGAAGCAACACAAAGGAGAAACTGTCCTAATCCTACGTCACCTCACACACACAGGACTCAGACCCAGGCTCCACCCAGTCTTAGTTATCTGTGCCTAACTTGGAGAGGCCTCGACGGAAGTCATGGAGGTCGTCGATCTTTCCATCCAGCACCTCCAGGAAGGTCTTCAACTCCCCCTTCAGGTGGCGCTGCCGGTATTTACTCTCTTCAATGTCTGTCTTCAGAGACCGCACTTTGTCTTCCAAGTTTTGATTGTCTCTTTCTGCTGCCTGGGACAAGACAAAAGGGAGAAAGATCTGGAAGACAGACTGATGGAGCCATCACTGAAACCTGCTGTACTAAGACCAAACATTCGCCATAAGTCTGGGCCCCCTGAGACAAGAAAGGAGGCCATTTGGGGTGTCATTCCCTTCCTGGCAGTTTCCAGCAGAAGGATTAATAGGAGTAGGTGACCGGTAGTTGGCCTGAATGCCCCAAGCAGCAACTAGAAATACAGAATGTGGGGTCCTGCCTAGGGGGCCCAATAGAGAAGCTGAAATCTGGCCCAATCCTGGTGTGGTCGGCAGAGACCACTTTAAGCTACATCCTGACAGAACCAGGATCATGACTTGTTTTTCTGGTTTCACAAGAGGCCTCCTTGGTCCAAGGGGACTGGCCATGCTAGTGACTTAGAGACAGGTGGTCTATATACCTTTGATACCATTGCCATAGGGATGGTCTATAGAGCTGAGACCCAAGCAGTCAATCAAAGCACATCTAGGTGCCAGACACAAGTGCCCAAAGACAGAAAGGCTGTAGGTCTTTAGAGGAACTGTAAACCTTACACTCTTCATGCCATATAAGAGCTTTATTTTGTGGGCATAAACTGAATGTTTTTGAATATATGTTCAGGAACTGGTTAACAATATAGTCCTGGTTGTGTAACTAAATAAAGTTGTCTTTGTGAAGGTCAAGGGGTCTCAAGTGAGGAGACCACTACAGGTAAAGGACCACTAAGGTGAAGGTGAAGACCACTACACCACATTTTACAGATCAGAAAGCTAAGACTCATGAGGAAGTCTGTCCAAGGCAGTACCCAAAGCTGTGGAGAGGTGGATGTGAACTTGTATCTAACCCCATGAATGTCAGTTGCCCATCTGCCCCTGCTCTCACGTCTGGTTCTGCAGGGACTTTCTATGGGTAAGAATAGTCACCTACACTCTGGCTATGCACAAGAATCTTTTGTGTAACTGGGAAAAACAAAAGATTAACACTACCAAGGCAGCCCCCAAGGGTGCACATCACAATCACCAGCTTCTTATAAAGAGAACCCCACTCTTGACCATCTTCAGTATGGAAGTGAGATGGGGTGGAGACATCAGCAACATGCCAATCACCTTCTCAGGACTGACACACATCCCTTACCTCTAACTTCTCAGAGACATATTCACACTCTGACATGAGCTGAGGTATGATTTCGCTTTGTTTTTGGAGATCTTTCAACTCCTAGAGGAGAGAGAAATGTTGAAAAGGACACAAAAGCAAGTCAGATGAAAACATGCCAACCTGTGCATGCACTAGTGGATGTTTCTCTTAGAGCCTGTCCTGTTGGCATGAATAATGACGGGAAGATACAGTTCTGAAGCATCAGGTGATTCTAAAGGTAAATTAAATGTATCATCACATAGACTCTGTACGCCACTGTAAAAAGGCATGTGTCTTTAAGATTCCTGTTTTGTAGAGGGGAAAACTGAGGGCTAGTGAGGTTTAACACCTTGTCCATGTCTCCAATGTGTGTATACTTAATGGTTCTGCCTCCCAGAATACAAATGACTATCTGACCAGAAGCTCTAGCTGCATTAACTTGACAGTAGAACTCATCTGATGGCAAATGATCTGTAAGAGCATCCAAGGGTTTTGTTGAATGTTCTCCTTATTTTTTTCCCCCAGACAGAATCTCATGTATCCCACACTGACCTTGGTGAGGAATGCATTTGAATTCCTGATCCTCCTGCTTTGTGATTACAGGCATGTACCACCACACCTAGCATGAGCTTGTGTAGTGCTGGTGATGTGCCCAAGACTTCATGCATTCTAAGCAAGCACTCCACCAACTTAGCTACATTCCTGGTCCTCAGTTCACTCTTGAACTGAGGGTCATAAATAAAATGAGAAACATGGTTCAGGGGCATGGTGAGGTCTTGGCTCTGGAGAATCTGCACCATGTGTGAATCCTGACTCTCTGGCCTGGTCTCCAGGCAGCTACCAGCATCCCAAGCTACCTATTGTGTTCTTCTTTTTTTTAAAAATTATTTATTATTTTAATTTTATGTATATAAGTATTGCCTGCATGTAAGTGCACCCATGCTGTACAGTGCCCACGGAGGTCAGAAGAGGGCATCAGATCCCCTGGAACTGGAGTTACAGACAGTTGTTAGCTGCCATGTAGGAGCTGAGACATGAACCTGTCTCCTCTGCAAGAACAGCCAGTACTCTTAACAGCTGAGCCATCTCTTCAGCCCCACCTATTATGTTTCTGAGTGGAGATCACAGAGGTCACCACACAAGGCTCAGAAGACACTGAGGGCCCTGCTCATATCTTTTCACTCACCGTCTCCTTTTCTTGAAGTTCAGACTCCAGCTCCTCAATCCTCCTCTTCAGCTGGGTATTCTTTTCCTTTTCCCTGTTTATCTCACTGCACTGTTCTTCCAGCTCCTCGATCTTTAATAAACATTACATTGAAGGCAGGATGCCAGCTTAGTCATTAAACAAGAGCCTGTTACAGCTAATTTATACCTTCTTTTAAAATAAACCCACTTTTCCATTTTCCCATAAGTAGGCACTATGCAGCTCCCATAGGCTGATGGTCCTGCCTGCAAGCAATCCTTTACTTAATCTCAGCAGGGCCAGTAAGTCATGAAACCTGGCAGCCTTGATGCTCTGGTTATGGCCTCATAGGAGTAAGACTAGGTTTGCTTAAGGGGCCACAGACCACTTGTCCCTGAATTGATCTGTTTCTCCCAAGAATTTTTTTTTCAGCATTTTAATCATATCCTGAATTTCTTGACTTCATTTCAAGGGTTTAAGACAGCAAAATGGAGAACCCAGCAGCCCTACAGGAACAGGGGCTACCAAGTGGGAATCAAAGACATCTCAACCACTATTTATCAGGATGACCTCCTGTCCATTAATGCTTGCATTAGGGCCCTGGCCAGGGGGCTTCTTCAAGACTGGAAAATCCTAGAGTTGCTTCTTTTCTTGGCCTGACCCCTCAAAAGAGCTGTATATGCTTCTGAGACCCTGCTCATATGACTCTATGGCAATGGTGTCAGCAAATACAAGTCCCATGCAAACTCAGGCAGACAAACACCTAGCACAGAACTGGGAAAATGAACAGCAGGCCCCAATCTTATCTGATGAAATATTGGCAACTGATTGCTCCTAGGTGAAGAAGAGCTGATCTTCCTAAAACACAGGACTCTAGAAAGGCTTACTAGATAGGCTTGCACTGGGGACACTGACTTGATACAGTGAACCTTAACAGGGGTGAGAGAGTATACAGACTCCAGTAGGGGGGCTGTGGGAGGCATGCCAGTGGGGACGGAGGTATAAAGATGATTAAGATTGATTGAGATGTTCTGTATAAAATACATAAAAATTCAATAAAAAGAAACTTAAAAGAAAAAAGAACTACACGTGGAATATGAGAGTGCAGACCCTTCACATACTGACACTGTCATCAGTTGCTCAGCATTTCTTGGAAACCAAACTGTGTGTGCAGAGTGGATGGCAGGAGCAGAGCCAAGGTATAGTTGAAAAGCAGAGACACACTGCGTTTCCTCAAGAAAGCAGTGCCAACCCTTGATATGAGGCCATTTCTCAGTGGAGGTTGTACCAACCTCAGCCCCAACTGTCAATGAAGATCCCAACTTCCACTTCCAGCCTAGAAATCAAGTTCCAGAAGCATCCCACTTGGGGAGGTCCATGTTCTCCAAGAGAGCCAGCTCTGGGAGATGTTACCCCACACCTCAGTACTAACTTTGACTATTATGCTTAGACTGGAGTGAGAAACCCAGCTCATTGCTTGAAAAGATGAAGGAGCAATTGATTCCTGTGGCAGGCCGATCTGCCAGGGCTCAACAGGAATGTGCAAAGCCAGAAACTGGCCTGGTGCCCCCAACTGTCACCACTTTCATCATGGAGATGAAAAATAGTGGCATGAGGCAGCTCTATGAAAATCAGCACCAGAGGAAGGTAGTGAAATAGGGCTCACCCACAATGGTTTTGTCAGGGCCAGTCAGGACATGTGGCACATGTGGGTCAATGGTCAGTCCCCCCAAATTCTGTACTTACAGAGCAGTCTCTGATGCCCTGTGCATTCACACTCAGCATTCATTAATGGACTCATGCTTATAACATTGTCTACACAGCGACCTCAGGACCTCGACAAGGGCATCTCTGGTCAGCCCCAAATCCCTTATCAACTCTGTAGAACTACAGTGAGTGGCTAATTACAGGACAGGTTATGGGTAAATTTTAAGAAAAAATTAAATACTCAGACATCAACGTGGGACAAGAGGGCATGTCACTGTAGTTGGCACCCACCTTCTTCCTGCTTTAAGAAGTACATATCTCTTTTTGCTTCCAAATTTACAGTTTTAGATACAACAATTTGGATGAAAGCAGGGCTTCTGAGACAATTAGCTCCTCACCAACTCCTGGGTCAATTTTCTCATTTGTCCTTTGGATCCCTTTCCTCCAGTGAAGATCCCGAGCCACAGAAATGCCAAGGGAAGTCCATCTACAGCTAAGGTCATCCCAGAAAGAGTATGAAGGAGCTCTTGAGAGAGATTTCAGACTGCTTATTTTTTCCTTAACAACAGGAATTAAAAATCAGTCATTTACATGATTGAATTCCTACTAAGAAAGACATGAAGATGGGATGCCCAAGGTGGTGATAACAAGTCTTTCTCCTGCCTGTGGGATGAGGCAGAGTGAAAGTGAGGTAAAGGAGGGAAAGGAAAGTGGCCTTTAGTGGCCCAATTCCTGCTGCCCCTTCCAGATGGCCAAGTCTCCCTCCTGCTGGTTGCTGGGAACAGCTCACCTTGCTGCGGAGTCGATCATTCTCATCCCGGCAGATGGAGAACTGCCTCTTCCACTGCTCCACACTGGCCGCAGACTCCTGCAGTGCTGTGGTAAGCCGGGCGTTGCTCTCCCGCAGGGTCTGCAGCTCAATTTCCCACTTCTTCACATTTGCAGCACTGTGGGGCAGGGGAGGGGGTTTAACAGAGTTGGGGATGGCTGTCCATCACATTACACCTCCATCTTCTGGGGAATGACAGCTCTGCCACCCCTCAGTTCACCCCAAGGGAAGCCCGAGCTCTCATCTTTAACTCAACTGGTGGGCCTGGCTGCACCAACTGCTAAGAGGGACTCGATCCTCTTTCTTGTGTGAACATGTCACCTAACCAAGTTATTTTCTTTAAGCAGTGCCTTAGAAGAGGGGCTGCAGAGATGTTCAGTGGTTAAGAACATGTACAGCTCTTGCAGAGGACCCAGGTCAGGTAGTTCATAGATGTTTGCCTGTAACCCCAGCTCCAAGGGAATCCAAGCGTCTGGCTCCTTGGACAGGTGCACTCATGTGCACATAGAAACAGACACATACACATGACTAAAATAATAAAAATAAACTTTTTAAAAATTTTATTTTATGTTTTGCTTGCATGTATGTAAGTGCACCATGTGTGTGCAATGCCCATGGAAGCCAGAAGGGCATCAGATCCCCTGGAACTGGAGTTACAGGTTATTGCTAGCCACTATGTAGGTGTTGGGAACTGAACCTCTGTAAGAGCAGCCAGTGCTTTTAACCAGTAAGCCATCTCTCCAGTCCAAAGAATTGCTGTAGGGAAAAAGAGTTCTTAAAGACTGAGAAACAAAACTTCTAAGAAGGCTGTGGAGTATGACCCCTAACATGGCATTCCCTTAGGTCTGTTCCTTCCTGGAACCAGCCTCATAACAGAGGCTCTGAAGTTCTGGGATGACCAGGGGGCTGTTTATGTCTCCTGAGAGTCATGAATACCTCTCTGGCCCAAGGACACAAAGTTTAAATATACATGCTATGTGTAGCTATTTCCTCTGGATTTCATTATTTCCTAGTGGAAAGAGGGGGAAGGCTGACAAAACCCAAGAAGGTTATAAAACTCACAATACACACAGGCCCCTTTCTGCAGTTATCTAAGCAGTAAAAATTGCTGAGGGAGAGGAGGCTCTTCTGTGGAGCTGCCTGCAGGTTGTGCAGGTAGTCCCAGTGATGTGACTTTTGTAAGCTGGCACCTATGCTAGGGTGGGCTTTCTGTGATGCAGCAGCCTAAGTCACTCATGTTCCTGTAAGCAGTCTCTCATCCACACTCACTCCTACAAGTAACTCCAATACATTCACTAGTTCACCAAGCCAGACTTGGATGGTGATGAATCATTTGTCTTTGTCCTCTATATGGGGGTGAATAAAAATAACTACCCAGGAAAAGTCATGCAACACACACACACACACACACACACACACACACACACACACACACACACACAAAGCATGGGTCTTGAGTGATAATGGCCCCACTATAACTTATGAATCCTCAAAGTCCTTCAAGGAATCCAGATTTGATCCTAGGGCTTGAGCAGAACTGGGGTTCTGACTTCAGTGTGTAGGAGGGTATGTTGATTGACACATGCCACCTCAGGGGTGAAAGGACACTCATCCCTCATCACCAAGGCCTCCTGCTTTACCTTTGATGTTTTGTGCTCAATGAGGAAGAACCTGCCATAAAAAGGAATCGGATTCCCCTTAGTCACTGCCCCCTTCTATTTCTTGTCTTGGAGTCCACATAGGTGTGGCACTAAATGTGACCTGAGGTGATGGGACAGAGTTGCAAAGAAGAAACCCACAGGTAGTTCTGCCTAGGGCCAAAGCAACAGCTCAGTTGGTGAAATACCTGTCATATAAACACTAGGACCTGAGCTTGATTTATAATACCTACATACAAATCCCAGGGAAGTGGCACAGGCTTGCAATCCCTGCACTGGGAGACAGAGGCAGAGGGACTTCCAGGACCTGTTGACTAGCCAGTGTAGCCAATCATTAAGTTCCAAGTTTAGTGAGAAATCCTGCCTCAAAACAAAAAACAAAACAAAACAAATTGGGGCTGGGAGATGGCTCACTGGGTAAGACTGCTTGCTGTGAAAGCAAGATGATCTGAATTCAAATTCCAGCACCCATGTGAAAGCTGGGCATGGCTATGTGTTGTCTATAATCCAAGCTTTGAAGGGCAGGGATGGATGGCTTCCAGGTGGTCAATGGCCAGTCAGTCTAGCCAAAATGGTAAGCTTGAGGTTCATCAAGAAACCTGTCTCAAAAAATTAAGGTGAAGAGTCATAGAGGAAGAGACCCAACATCCTCTAGCCTCTACATGCACGCATGGGTACAGCCAACCACAGGCACATGCCTATAGCATATAGGCCAAACACACACAACACAGACACACAGACATACACCATCCAAGTGGTTGATTCCTGAGGAACAACACGAGGCTGACCTCTAGCTTTCGTGCACACATACGCACATATACACAAACATGCACACATATATATACACAAAGAAAATTTATGCTTGGTTGAAGAATGTCCTAAAGACTTAAAAAAATTAAGTAAATGCAACAATGTCTGAATAATGTGTTATCTTCTGACCACAGGCTCATGAACCTACAAATGTGACTAGAAAACATATACCTTCAGTTTCAAATGCCATACAGTAAGAACAGTAAACGGTTACTATTTGATGAGTTTTAGAGGTGAGGACTAAGAATTAAGCTGATTTGGGGAATGGTTTCATGCCTATTCCTGTAACTTATTCCCTCCCTAACTTGGATTTGAAAACATTTATTTTTAGAGATGAAACATTTTCATCCAGGCAGACCACTGTGACTTAAGCTACCAAAAATAGTTCTCACAATCACCTAGTAAGAAAAAAAAAAAAAAATAGAGACTGGTCAATTTTGTCTTTGAAGGACTTAAAAAAGACCCAGAGTCTAGAGGCAGGAGGTGGGATCTAAAAGTCTTTTGTGCTTTTGGAATTTCTAGGTCAGATCACAGGATTAAGCTCCAGATGCTAGGCAGGGAGCTAAGTTGGGGGCAGTGGGTACCAGTCCTTTTGGGAGCTCCAGCTGTGACTGTGACAGGATGAGGAGATTGCATCTGCAGCCCTAAGTGCAAAGCAGGCAGTACAGTGATGGAAAAATGTGCTTTTAGCCATGTGACCTGGAGCAGGGAGTCTCTTTACCAACTGGGCCTCAGTTTCCTCATCTGTTCAATGGGGAGAATTCAGAAAGACAGGCTCCTAAGATGATATAGCTCTGACAATGTAAAGTCTGATGAAGGTAGTTTCTTAGCCACAAAGAGGAGGCTGAGGGCCAAAGGCCCTGACCAGCTGAGCAGAGTAATTCTGAAGGTACCATAGGCCATTCCTGAGAACCAGAAACAAAAAAAAAAAATAGCTGTGTCTATATCATATGTCATTATTTAAAATTTAAGTCTTCTTGATCAGTACAGGGATCGTGTTAATGTATAGGACTACTTAGAGGAAACTGATATCTTGTAAACTACCCCTACTTCTTAGAACACCATCTATGTTTGAACTGAAGGATTGCTGACTCTGCTCTGATCATTTCATATCATATTTATTTGTTGTCACACTGTGAGCAATAAATAAGCTCAACTATATGCTAACTACAAATATTTTCAATTTTTATTTTTGTTTTTATTTATGAGTATCTATGTGCCTCTGTATGTGTATGCCATGTGCATGCTGGGGCCTCAGGAAGCAAGAGGGTGTCAGATCCCCTGGAGCTAGAGTTACCGGCAGTTGTGAGCTGTGTGATATGGGTTCTGGAAATTAAACTCAGGTCCTCTGCAAGAGCAGCAAGCATTCTTAACCACTGAGCCTTCTCTTCAGTTCCCATAAATATTTTAAAGGTAAGAAACAATGTATTTATTCATTAAATGATTCATTTGTGATCCTCAAATCACCTGTAAAGTTTCCTTTATATAGCTTGGTATGGTTGCAGTGTCTGTGATCTAGTGCTTGTGAGCAGGAATTCGAAATCATCCTTAGCTAGAGAGCTAGTCTGGGGCCACTCTATGTTGTTTGAGACCCTGCTTCAAAAAAAGAAAACAGTAACAAAAAAAAAAAAAAAAAGAGAGAGAAGGAAAAAAAAGAAAAAAACAGACAAGGAGCTGATAATGTCACAGAAGACAAGTAGCATAACTTACTGTAGCACTA